CTAAGCGGCCGCGTGTTATTTTCAACATTAGATCTAAATTCAGCCTATTGGCAAGTGCCGATGGATGAAGATTCCATTGCCAAAACAGCAATTACCACACCATTCGGCTTATTTGAATTTTTACGAATGCCTTTTGGTCTAAGAAACGCAGCTCAAACTTTCCAACGTTTTATTGATGCCATTACACGCGATCTTGATTTTGTTTATGCTTACATCGATGATATTTTGGTAGCCAGCACCAATGAAAATGAACATAAAGAACATCTTAAAATGGTTTTCGACCGATTACAGCAAAATGGTATTACAATCAATGTTAACAAATGCAAATTTTTCCAACCAGAAGTTCCGTTTTTAGGTCACATTGTTTCCAAGGATGGCTTAAAAACATTACCAGAAAAAGTAAAAGCAATATGTGATTTTCCGCGTCCAGAGAACAAAAAGTCTCTTAAACGATTTCTTGGTTTCGTTAATTTTTATCGTCGATTTATACCAAAAGCTGGACATCTGATGAGTTCATTACATGAAATGGAGTGTTCCGAAATCGATTGGACCGAACGACGTATTAACGATTTTGAATCAATCAAAACCGCATTGGCTAATTCAACAATGTTAGCTTATCCAATAATCAATGCTAAATTGGTCCTTACAACAGACGCATCAGATAGAGCAATGGGTGCGGTCCTCGAACAAATAGTTAATGGTAATCGACAACCACTTGGCTTCTTCTCAGCTAAATTCAAACCATCTGAATCTAACTATGCTCCGTTTGATAAAGAATTATGTGCAATTTTTTCGTGCAATCAAAAATTTTGAACATCTGCTGGAAGGTAGAAATTTTACAATTTTCACCGACCATAAACCAATATGTCAAGCATTGACCAAAATGACGAATCAAAGTCCTCGTCAATCACGTATGTTGTCATACATTGCTGAATTTACTATTGATGTACGTCATATTAGTGGTATTAATAATATTGTGGCGGACGCTTTAACGCGTGTTGATGCTGTTTCAACAACGATAACAAGTTTGGATTTATCCTCAAAACAAGAACAAGAAAAAGAATCAATTCAGCAATTTATTCGTATGAATCAACATCACCGTTTCAAAACAACAACGATTAATGATCATCAAGTGATTTGCCACGAAGAGTCGGGCAGGTTACGTCCTTTTGTGCCAACCGATTTACGTCGACCAATTTTTAATTTAGTTCATAGTCTTTCACATCCATCTTTTAGAATTACAAAAAAACAAATTACTGATCTCTACTTTTGGCCAAATATGAAACAAGATATCTCAACATGGTGTCAAAATTGTTTGTCTTGTCAACAATGTAAAATTGATCGTCACGTACATATTCCGCCAACACAAATTCCGGTTCCACGACAAAGATTTAAACATGTGCATATCGACATCGTTGGACCGTTGCCACCATCAAATGGTTATAAATATTTACTAACAATGATTGACAGATTCTCGCGGTGGCCGGAAGTGGTTCCTATTGACAAAATTGACGCTGAAACGGTAGCAACAACATTTATCGATACATGGTTTGCTCGTTTCGGTTCACCTGATTTATTAACTACGGACCGAGGCAGACAATTTGAATCAAAATTATTCCAAGAATTATGCAAGAAAATCGGTACTGATAGAATTCGCACATCAGCCTACAATCCTCGGGCGAACGGGTTAGTTGAACGTTTTCACCGAACGCTTAAAGCTGCAATTCGTTGTCATCGTACTAATGAATGGTTCAACATCTTACCTTTTGTTCTTTTTGGGTTAAGAACAAATTTCAAAGAAGATTTAAATTCCACACCGGCTGAATTACTGTATGGTTCTCAATTGAACTCACCAGCCGATTTGATCAATAACAATAATGATGATGTATCGACAGACGAATTTGTACGGCGGTTACAAGAGGTGATGAGAAAAGCTCAACCAACACCGACGCGGGTGATATCTAGTGAAAAATATCTTGTCCCGAAAAAATTGAAAACATGTTCCCATGTTTGGATCAAAAATGAGAGCAGGATTGGCCTCGAGCCGCCTTACAAAGGACCATTCAAGGTGATTTCCCGAAATGAAAACACGATCACAGTTGATACGCCCAATGGTCGAGACGAAGTTGTTTTACATCGATGCAAACCGGCGGTAGTGGAAAAATCGGTTTCGTTTGACGATTTTCTTCCCAGGAGGCGCGGACGGCCTCGTAAGAGTCAACAAAAATAAAAAAAAACTTTTCTTTAATTAATTTTTATTTTCCTTTTCTTTAATTTTTTTTTTATTATTTTTTATTTTTAATTTTTTTTTTTTTTTTTAAAGGGGGGAGGTGTGGCGTTGTTAGCCGTCACAGCCTGTATGACGAACCCCTTGAGCCAAATCATATAAAAGGCAAAACATTCTAAATAAAGTTTAATCATTATACACACGCGAATAAACGTGCTCCACAACAATTTATATTAGAAAAATGTAAAATGATCTTCAAATAACATTTTTAATTAGGAGTTATCAAATTAAAATTAGATTTAATTACCGCAATGATGATTTTCCGGTGATCCTATATATAGGATCATGGGCATTCAAAGTACTAAAATATCAACTTCTGTTATTATTGAAACCTATGTATTACATCGTAGTATCTCTTGTTTTCTATGCAGGACTAGCATATTTTTCCAAACAAAAATCTGGTTAATCTATTTATCAGTGTTTCTCAACCATAGGGTCACCATCAATAAAAGACAAGACAATCAATACAAGATTATTACAGAAATTCAGGATATTTCCGGACTAAATCCAGACGTATGGTAACCCTAAGAATTTCTATGCCAAATTGTTAGAGTGCTATTCTTTTTATTAGTGAGAGAAACAAATTATTCAAACTCCACACCAGCAATAAGAATCGCATTTTATTCTGAATCTGGCTATTGAAAATCGACAAAGAAAGTGAAAAATTAGATTATAGTTTTGATAAGAAAAATGAACTGTTTCTTGTAGGTTGAAAAGATAATAAAACCGTATATGTTATTTCGAACAAGAGGATTATTCCGAACACAGAATTGACGAACTGCTGGCCAACGAACTGAAATCTATGTATGGAAGTAAGGTGACCACAGTGCCAATTGTATTGATGTGGGATGGTTTGGTCACAAGATACTTCAAAAAGGCCTGGGGTTTACAGAGAAAATCCAAGCCTTTTTGGTATATCCAGGGTAAAGTGTTGAAGAGGACCATGAATAGCTCCCAGGAATAAACATGATAAAATAAACTGAATGTGTATTGGACCAAACTCAAAAAACATGACCATCAAACAACCAAAGTTGATTGAGGATTATTTGAGTAATATGGGATATGTTGTTTAGTAAAATATTTCTAATTACAATTTATCAATATAATCGAGGAAGTAGTATTTTTTGCTATTCACTAATTCAATCGATTCAACCATTCATTCACCAAATCATACATTTTATTGTATTGTAGACCCAAGAGAAAAAAAATTTCTTGAATATAAAAGGTCAATTTCAAAAATTTATTTATCATTGGACTCATTTTCAAAATTAAAAATCTTGGTTGACCAAGACATTTATGTGATGAATTATTAAATACAGGGAATCATTTCATCATCAAGATACAAGATCACAAACCATGGACATGCTATGTTTGTAAAAAAAATCACCGTATCAATGGATCTTGTACAACAAAAGTTTCTGCTTAAATGATTTTAAATAATATCATAGTAAATTATAAAATAAAGACACTACAAATTGATGTATTTTTAATTTGTAAAATGATTTCGAAGAGAAAAACCGAATATATCAATTGTATTTGATAAAATAACAATAATATCCAATATATGCAATTTTTGTTGTCTGTGTGCCCATCATCCTATTATTAGGAGGTAAGAAAAATACTGTCGTTTTTTTTATATGACTTTTTGGAATGACTGTCCCAAAAATTTGGCAAAGGTTTTGACATCATGTATGACCTCGATTTATTCTTTATTGATCAGGCTTTAATTTAAAAATAAATTTTTTCCAACTTTGGCTACCGGAAGTGCTAGCCAGCCTCTGGAATTCGACCCATTAAAAAACGAAATTTTAGCCATTTTGATTTTTGCTCGTGGTGACCTTGACCAAAGAGTTAAAATTCATCTTACCACTAAATGCAAATTCCACATGTCCTGGGAGTTGAAAAAAATTATGGGCGTAATTCTTCCTCAACTCATCCGTTTTCAAGGGCGGATCAAAATCCGGTCGGCCGCTATCAGCCACTGTGTTATTCAGCCTTAGGAAAAATATGCGTCAAAATAAAATTTTTAAAAAATTTAAATCAATTATCGCACGACACGTTTTCCGCTAACCAAAAAGTCAACAAAAAAATTTGGTTTACTAAAAATTCCAAATTTTTTCAAATTTTCAAAATCGCATAACCGACCATGCAATTCATGTGCCGTCAGCCACTCTCCCAATGGAATTGCCCATTGAAATTGCTAGCAGTCTATATTGAATGTTGATAGCGGCCGACCGGATTTTGATCCGCCCTTGAAAACCCCTTGCCAAGGCACAAAAATCGTTCACAAATCAGTAGCAACAAAAAAAGGTTGAGAATGACTGCTCTAAGGCATGGGAAGATGTCTGATGGGGATGTAAAAAGAGCATTGAACAAAGCTTAAACATTTATATATATGGAATGCAAAAAAAAATAGCAGCGTCACATTGACATTGAAAAAATTAATTATTGGGATTTTATTATTTAGTGGATATTATTCAGTCCCACAAGAACGATTATATTGGTCAGAAGATGAAGATTTTGATATTAATTTTATTAGTAAATGCATGACCAGAAATCGATATCTGTAAAGAATTTTGAATACTCAAATAATGTTAATATAAATAAATGTTTCTCCCTCAGATATGTTCAATATAATACGTTGTTTATGAATGTGATGTGTGAGCCTGATCGAGCATGGTATGTTTCGTGTGTCAATCAACGGATGCGTTTCCGTGGCCGAAGAAAGCTATACATAACATGTATTCACATTTGTACAACTTTTCGCATTTCGGTTCGATCGTTGACAAAATAAAGAAAAATAAGGCAACAAGTAAGCATTGATTATAAAGCTGAACAATCTTTTGAAATTCATATCATCTATTAACAGATATTCTATTGGAGGATTACATCAAATTCATCGAAGATCTTAACAGCTATGTTAATCAAGGAAAATGGAGCCAATTTTCCGTTGGGCATGAAAGATGGCAATCGCTATCCCAATTCATCGAAAATCAAATTCCCACATCTGGACAAATTCATGACAGACTCTTGGAGAGTTACAGTCTATCAAAAATCCTTACCAACAAAATTATACTTGTAAATATAATTTCCAGTATTTGTGAAAACGGTTGTGATTGACTTTGTTTTTGCAGCGAAAAACTGCTGGTGTTTTGGGGGAAGAACATCCATTGGTTGTGGCAATGAAACGCTTGAAATCTGGATCAACGGAAGAAGAATGTACCGACCACAAGAAAAAATTCAAAAGTGATTCGGCAATGCGGGAGCATTTGAAATCTTTTCATCCGTAAGTCTGTTGAATCGATTATAACATCAATTCTCACTTATTGCATTCATTATTAGAGAAGTATATGTTGGATCTGCTGCCCACGATGAACCTGGACCCTCTGACATTGGTCTCCCAGTTTTGGATATTCCTGAAATTATGGATACCGAAGATACCGAAATACCATCATCGGTTATGGAAGCTGATTTTTCCTGTATTGAAGAAGATTCCTCCGAAGATGATGACCAACCTGAAATTCAACAAATTATTCTGTCATCAGATGAAGAAGAAGAAGATTTCGAAGAAACCACAGCACCCGAAGCAAGTTCATTCTTTGAAGGTTTGCCGAATCTTCTCAGCGAAAATGAACTGCGATTGTTTCATGGTTTCGCAAAGAACATCATAAAATGCCGGGTAAATGGAACCAGAATTTGTGATATCGCTCAGATCACAGAGGCAACTTATTCACACAATCTTGATCGTTGTTTTTTCATTGTTTCTGTAAGTTTAATTATTATCATTTGTATTTTTTTACAACTAAATCGACGACTTAAAAAAATTTGGCTCATTTTTACATGTTATAAAAGTTCATTTGTTTTACCCGATGAATGTTTAACCTTTAGTATTGTATATATTTGATTTTATATTACACCATTATTATTCAATTAGATCTAAAATTACAAGTATAAAATAATAGTATCAGCAGTTGATATTTTCGGCGTTTGGTTGATTTATATATTTTCAAAAATTAACGTCAAAAACGAAAATTTATTCATGAGGTGATGTTCGCTTTGAGCTTAGCCATAGTAATCTACTACTGGTATAATTCAATTGGTGATTTTCGTATCAAAATTTGACTGAATTTTTTTTTTTACTAAAATTAGTCAATTCTTTTGATCAAAAATTAACGCCAAATAATAATAATAATTTAACTTTAATTAACACGCGCTGCTCCGGGGAGCACTTGCGCAGAAATGGAATTTAGCAGAAAGAAAACAACAATAAAGAACAAAGTAATAAAATAGAAACAATAATGATAATAAATAAAATAAATGTTTTTTTTTATGAATAATTTAGACAATAGTCTTTACAAAATTGGTTGAAGATGTTGAAATTTTGCTTGGTTGCTATACAATCTTTTGCATTTAAGAAAAGGTTTCTATAAGAAAAATTATGGCATGATAAAAGAATGTGGATCGAGCATTGAATATCACGACCGCATGAGCATAATGGGGAGGATGACTTGCCAATCTTAAATAAGTACTGATTGAACTTCCCATGATTAGAAATAAATTGAATGTTGTAAAAATTTGGACGGAAGTAATTCGGAATGAACGGAGAGACAAAGAATTTTTTAAAAGTATCATTAGAACCATTGTAATATTTGAGTAGAAGGAGATTTTCAATGTTTTTTACTTCAATGGCTTTCAAGTGGTAGTCATGGATATGTTTGGTAATGAGATGAGTGTGAAAGTAATCAGACAATTTCGGTAATGAACAGATGAGATGGACAATGTTTTCAGAAACAGAACAATAAGCTTGAATTGATTTGGCTAAAATTCGATATTGTAATGAGTCGATTTTTTTTTATTTGTGATTTATTAATCTGATTAAACCATATTTGATAGCCATACGAAATGGCTGGGCGGATCATACCTTTATACAAATTGATTCTTTTTTTGCAGGGTAAACCCCAGGTATTTCCAATTAGAGCAAATAAAATTCTGCATATTCGTTGGGATTTGTCGACAATATTGTTGATATGAGGGGAAAAATTCAGTTTTGAGAGATGTCTATGATTACCGAAGGTCAAACCTAAAATTTTAATTGAATCAGAAGGAGAAATTTGATGATTGTTGTGATAAATGACTGGTTTATTTTTTTTAAATAAGTATAGAATATTAGTTTTATTATTATTGATGCTTAGTTTCCGACTTTGGCACCATTTGTCAACGAAGTCTATGGAAGCAATTATTTTCTCTTTAAGGAGGTTTACAGACGACGCCCAACAAACAATTGTGATATCATCGGCAAATGCAACAACTTTTGAATCAGAGATATTTAACGTAACTAGGAGATCATTCAATAAAATTGTCCATAGCAGAGGAGATAAGACACCACCTTGCGGGCAGCCACATGATAATGTTTTACTTGACGAATAATCACCATAGTCAAACAAGATAGATCTATCAGATAAGTATGACATCATAATTTATATCAAATCAGACTGAATATTTGCCTTATCCAATTCGTAAATAGTTGCTGGCCACCATGCCTTGTCGAAAGCAGAAGCAAATTAACGCCAAATGATACAATAAACGAAAATTAATTCACGAGTTGAAGTTAGCTTTGAGCTAACCGTTTTTGACTTATGCTCCCATTTTTTTAATTTCCGAAAAAAATTGGGCCGATCCTGGAGGTGAGTGCAAGTTCAGGCCAACCCGTGGCAAAGGTTGAGCACAGCTCAAACACTTCGCCCACCTGCAAAAATTGGTTCAATATCTTGACCCTCAATGAGGGTCGTTTCAGATATAAAGCTGAAAAGAACAGATACTAAATTCGATCATAGCCAATAGGCCGAGAAGCGATACCAATTTTTGGTGAATTATTATATTTAAAAAAACGTAGATTTCCTGTTCAATACAGTTTTGCATTTGGTTTTAATAAAATTTGCATAACATCGTTTCAATGAAATCAATGAGAAAAATTCATTTCTGTTAATTGCAAACCATCCAAAATGATTGAATCTTATTCTGTATAAATTATTGAATTTTCAATAATTTTTACAGGGACAATTTCACTACAAAAATTCACCAGAAATCAACATAAAGATTCATTTGATCTGATGTAGCAAATTGTTGGAAAATTTGGTGTGTCAATTTTTTACACATTGCAAGTAAACCAGTAGCGACATCTATTTGATGATGAGGAATGAAAACAATCACTCATGAAGAAAATTTACCATGAATTTTATGGCTACGGTCACACTAGCATTGACTAAACAGACCAAGACTGAAAGTCTTCAAGACATGTTCAACCGGAGTGGTCACATTATCGCAAACTAGTTGACTAGAAAACCACTATTTTAACAAAGTTGAATCGTGAAGTGCATTTTGAAATATTTAAAAATATTTTTTTGGCGCGTTAGAATTAATCCAAATTACAAGTTTTAATTGTTCAAAATTATGATTTCAAGAGCAAATAAATGTTTGAATTTCAACTCATAATGTTAATTCAATTCGAAATTGATTTTATTTAAAAATTAATGGAATATATAATATAATAATTAATAATTATTAGAAAATGAAAAAATGTTTATTAATTTCCAGCAAATACTGTTATTCCGAATTTAGATCCAAATTTCATGAATATTTTACACATTAAAAATGTGCCTAATACTTTTCTCTGTCGAGTATTCATGTTCAATTTTTTCAATTTAGTTCCACATGCTTTATTTGTTAGATTTTTGAGACCAATTGTCTCTATAATCATTGCTTCATACATAAAGGCTTCTTCCTTTGGGAGATTTTCATATGCATTAAATATTATTGGCTGGATGAAACGATCCCATAATGAAAATTTGAAATTTCGTTGAATTTTTGGTGATGGATCTAAACTAGTCGGTGCCAAACGTTCATTAAGAGCTTTTTTTAAAATGATCATAAGGACGGTCCTTAAGCCCCTGACAAACATAGAATATAGATGATATGAATTGAAAGAAAAAACGAGGATCAATCAATCCAGAATCAAGTGAAGAATCATTCTTTGGTTGTAAATTAATTACCATTAAAGGATCGATTAAAAAATACACAATTACATTCCTCTTCTCCCACCAACTTGATGAACATTGACTAAGCATTTCTCTTTCTAATCGACGAGCTTCATTAAATGAAAAACTATCAATTTTAAAAATATCAGTCGATATGTTATGTATAGTTTCCAATTGGTGAAGAATATTATCTTCTGACAAATTAGCTGCCGGATATGGATTCAATGTCGCATGTGGTTTTGGAAAAAGATGATAACTTTGAAAATCAGAATCATATTTTTTTTCTAGAGCGATTATTTGTTGTTTAAGCCTAGCATTTTCTTTTTTTCTATTGCAAAGAGAAAATTTTAATTATTCAAAAAGAATTTCTTATTAAGTGTAACACAACTTACATAGTGTCCATCTCCTCAAGAGATTCTGATTTTTCAAGTTTTTCATTAAGTCTTGCTATCGTTTTTTGTCTATTTCAAATAGAAAATTTTCAATTATTCAAAAAAAATTCATTAACAATTGGAACACAAACTTACAAATTTTTCACCTTTCGACGAGATTCTTTAAGTTTTTCACTATCATTTTCTCTATTTCAAATAGAAAATTTTCAATTATTTAAAAAAAATTTATTAACGAGTGGAACACAAACTTACAAATTGTGGACCTCGTTACGGGATTCTTCAAGTTTTTCACTATCTTTTTCTCTATTGCAAATAAAAAATTTTCAATTATTCAAAAAAAATTTATTAACGAGTGGAACAAAAACTTACAATTTTTCAATCTCGGCATTAGAATCCTGGGAATCTAAAAACATTTGTTGATATTTATCCAACAGACTTGTATTTTCCTCTTCCAAATGTTGTTGGCTTAATTTCTGTTGTTCTTGTTCTAAATGTTGGGCTTGTTTTAGACTGGATATACGTTTGCCAAGTTTTTCATTTTCTTTTTTGAGATTTTCATTCGCATTTTGTCTATTTCAAATAGAAAATTTTCAATTATTTAAAAAAATTCATTAACAAGTGGAACACAAACTTACAATTTTTCAATCTCGGCTTGTGATTCTTGATATTTAATTTTCCAATACATTTTTTCGGTTTCTATTTGCCGTAGATTAGATTGACATTCATTCAACTTTTCTTGAATTCTTTTCGTTGGTTCGGATGCAAATTTTTTAGACATGTTTATGTTTTGGTTGAAATTCACTGTCGAAACTTACAAAAAAACAATTTTAAAATAATCGGTCAATGTTGCACGATCACGTTCTTGAATCAATGTGATAAAATCATCGTGTCGAATGCCAATTTCCCAATCATTTTTATAGTAGTTGCAGTTCTTTTGAATGCCTTTTCTTTAACCTGGAGGGAGTACATTCTCGAGTTGGTTCCACGTTTATTGTCCATGTGCTGCATTTCTTTTCAATTTTATTGATTAAACATAAACATAAGGAATCGAATTTCAAAAAGCGTTTCATTTGCAAATTTGTTATTAATTAAACATAAACATTAGGGTAGTAAAAAAACGTTTCATTTGGAAATTTTGTTATTAATTAAACATAAACATAAGGAATCGAATTTCCAAAATGCATTTCATTTGCAAATTTTTTTATTAAACATAAACATTAGGGTAGTAAAAAACAATTCATTTTGAAATTCTGTTATTAAACATAAACATGAGGGTTGTAAAAAGCGTTTCTTTTTAATTTTTATTTGTTTTGTTTGATTTATGTTTGACCATGGGCGGTGTTTTTTTTTATATTATTGGGAGTTTGACATACCACTTTAGAAATTTTTTTGCACATGTCAAAGCGCTATCAAGAAGTTTATGGCCGTTTCAAATTTACACCGATTAACCAATTATTTCGAACCAGGGTTGTAAAAATGCATTTCATTTGCAAATTTTGTTATTAATTAAACATAAACATGAAGAATCGAATTGTAAAAAAAAACATTTCTTTTGCAAATTTTGTTATTAGATAAACATAAACATGAGGGTTGTAAGAAAACAATTCATTTTAAAATTTTGTTTTTAGACTTTATTTATTTATATCAAGGAATATTTACATTAAGTTGAATAGCATTACAATGAATCTAAAATTACAATTATAAATATAATAATAATAATAATAATTATACATATATGACTGGATCTATCCTGTGCATTCCTGAGAGCTACTCAGATCAATCCTTACGCTCTCCATGGTCCTCTTCAGCACCTGACCCTGGATGTACGCTTGGATCTTCTCTGACAACCCCAGGCTCTCAGCATACTTCCTGAAGTGCCTCGTGACCAGACCATCCCACGTCAGTACAATCGGTACTGTGGTCACTTTACAGCCATACATCGACTTCAATTCGTTGGCCAGCAGTTCATATTTTCGACGTTTCGTCGATTCTGTATTCGGGATGATCCTCTTGTTGGTTATTCCTACTTCCACTAGGACTATCTCGTTCGTCTTCATGTCATGGACCATCAAGTCTGGTTTGTTGTTGGGAATCCTATTGTCGGTTATTACAGGCACATCTGATTTAATACGAACCCTTGTTTTTAGATAAACATAAACATAAGGAATCGAATTTCAAAAAGCGTTTCATTTGCAAATTTTGTTATTAGATAAACATAAACATTAGGGTAGTAAAAAATCGTTTCATTTTAAAATTTTGTTATTAGATAAACACAAACATGAGGAATCGAATTTCCAAAATGCATTTCATTTGCAAATTTTGTTATTAAACATAAACATTAGGGTAGTAAAAAACAATTCATTTTGAAATTCTGTTATTAAACATAAACATTAGGGTAGTAAAAAACAATTCATTTTGAAATTCTGTTATTAAACATAAACATTAGGGTAGTAAAAAAACGTTTCATTTTAAAAATTTTTTTATTAATTAAACATAAAGATTAGGAATCGAATTTCCAAAATGCATTTCATTTGCAAATTTTTTTATTAAACATAAACATTAGGAGTCGAATTTCAAAAATGCATTTCATTTGCAAATTTTGTTATTAATTAAACATAAACATGAGGGTTGTAAAAAAACAATTCATTTTAAAATTTTGTTATTAGTTAAACACAAACATTAGGAATCGAATTTCAAAAAGTGTTGCATTTTCAAATTTTGTTATTAATTAAACAAGGACATTAGGAATCGAATTTCAAAAAGTGTTGCATTTTCAAATTTTGTTATTAATTAAACAAGGACATTAGGAATCAAATTTCAAAAAGCATTTCATTGTATCATGAATAAAGAACAGTGTAAATTACTAGGATTGGAATTATTGCTCTCGAGCTCTCTATCGACAAACTAAATTGATCAACTTGAACGAATTCCCGCTGGTTGTGTATCCAAACCAAAAATCTTCCTTGAAAACCATGTCAGCTCATTGCATCCACATTTTTATCATATCAATGATCCTTTTTTCAACCTTTGTAATTGCTTCGCATCAAGTCTCCTCTGGGTATCCTATCATATGGAGAAAATCAAATCACCATCTGGCCACCCAAGTGGTACAGGCCGAAGTCACAGTAAAACTCCAGAATCCTTGCAACATCGTTGACAATCTAAGGACTAACGTTAAAAATGAAACAACGCATTTCCTACACTCCTACAACTTTGAATCATGCATCAGAGAATATATCAAGCATATTATAAAACCGTTACGACACTTTTGTCCTACGAATATAACCGATTCTGAACACACTATACAAAAAGCAAAATAGATTACAAGATGATAGAGAACCAAATTAACAATAAATTCCTTAAAATCATCTCGAAAATGCATCAAGACCAGCTTGACTTGAAACATCAAATGAAGGAAATTACTATCATGAATACCATAAACGTTAAAAATGAAACAACGCATTTCCTACACTCTTATAACTTTGAATCATGCATCAGAGAATATATCAAGCATATTATAAAACCGTTACGACACTTTTGTCCTACGAATATAACCGATTCTGAACACACTTTACATAACATTTCGACTGATATTTTTAAAACTAATAGTTTTTCATTTGATGAAGCTCGTCGATTAGAAAGAGAAATGCTTAGTCAATGTTCATCAAGTTGGTTGGAGAAGAGGAATTTAATTGTATATTTTTTAATAGATCCTTCAATGTTAAAAAACTTGCCACCAAAGAAGGATTCTTCACTTGAATCTGAATTGATTGATCCTCATTTTTTCTTTCAATTCATATCATCTATATTCTATGTTGGTTGTGGACTTATTGACCGTCCTGATTCTCATTTTCTTCAAGCTCTTAATGAACGTATGAATCCGACTAATTTAGATCCATCACCAAAAATTCAACGAATATTTTCATTAATGGATCGTTTCATCGAGCCAACAATATATCATGCACAAGAAAATCTCTCAAAGCAAGAATCCTTTATGTATGAAGCAATTATTATAGAGACTATTAGTCTCAAAAATCTAACAAATAAAACATGTGGAAATAATTTGAAAAAATTAAACATGAATACTCGACAGAGAAAAGTATTAGGCACATATTTAATGTGTGAAATATTCAAGAAATATGGATCTAAATTCGGATTAACAGTATTTGCTGGAAATTAATAAACATTTTTTCATTTTCTAATAATTATTAATTATATTATTATATTATATATTCCATTAATTTTTAAATAAAATCAATTTCGAATTGAATTAACATTATGAGTTGAAATTCAAACATTTATTTGCTCTTGAAATCATAATTTTGAACAATTAAAACTTGTAATTTGGATCAATTCTAACGCGCCAAAAAATATTTTTAAATATTTCAAAATGCACTTCACGATCCGACTTTGTTAAAATAGGACTGGTCAACTTCTTCAATAGCTTTGGCGATGAAACCTCTGTTGATCGAAGCGAAATAGATTACAAGATGATAGAGAACCAAATTAACAATAAATTCCTTAAAATCATCTCGAAAATGCATCAAGACCAGCTTGACTTGAAACATCAAATGAAGGAAATTACTATCATGAATACCATAAACGTTAAAAATGAAACAACGCATTTCCTACACTCTTATAACTTTGAATCATGCATCAGAGGGTATATCAAGCATATTAAAAAACCGTTACGACACTTTTGTCCTACGAATATAACCGATTCTGAACACACTATACAAAAACGTGGGATCATTAACTTCGTCTACAAAACATTAAAATGGGCCATAAAAATAACGACAGCCATAGGATTGGTCAACTTCTTCCGTAACTTCGGCGACGGAACCTCTCTTGAACGAAGCGAAATAGATTACAAGATGGTAGAAAACCAAATTAACAAAAAATTCCTTAAAATAATCTCGAAAATGCATCAAGACCAGCTTGACTTGAAACATCAAATGAAGGAAATTACTATCATGAATACCATAAATAGAAGGTTCGCTGAGATCGAAAACATCACCAAACAAATGTTCCGTCCAGACAATGACCAATTAGCTTGACAACTAAAGAACCTATTTCCGAACATCTCATTGGGTCTGGAAACTCCAGATGAATATCGGACTATGGAATCTTGCCGATTCGTGGAAGAAGAAGGTCTCACTTATGTCGACGATGTTGCACGGATTCTGCAGTTTTACTGTGACTTCGGCCTGTACAACTTGGGTGGCCAGATGGTATTTTGATTTCCTCCAGATAATAGGATACCCAGAGGAGTCAAGATGCGAAGCAATTACAAAGGTTGAAAAAAGGATGATTAATATGATAAAAATGTGGATGCAATGAGCTGACATGGTTTTCAAGGAAGATTTTTGGTTTGGATACACAACGAGCGTGAATTCGTTCAAGTTGATCAATTTATCTTGTTTTGTGATGATGAGATTGACGTTTGTCGAAAGAGAGCTCGAGAGCATAATGGCGGTGTTTGGCACAAACACAGAAATTTTTATATGATGTCACGTAGTGGATTCGTGGTTCAGTTTCCCTTAGAATCTGATTTATGCACGAGAAAAAGAGAAGGTGGTGATCCACATATAAAGCGTGTTTATCAGTTAGCACGGCATTGAAATAAGTTTGTTTGGTGTGCTCAGGGAGTGTATTTCTTGATAGCGTCTACTCCTAGTACAGAATAATTTGCGTTGGGCATTATCACGAAAGTTTGGTTTCTTCCGATCACGCCTATCTTCCTTTTTACATTGACAGTACTTTGTGGCTTTGGTTTGTTGATTAACATTCATGATTGGCAATTCCCCTGGTTTTAGTTCTAGTCCTAGCAGCTCACGTTTTCGTCGAATAAACATCATATTAAAACCTTCTTCATTGTGTCGTTCGTTTGTTTGTTATGTTTTGCTACATCCTCTGGCCTCTATTTCCATGCTGTTGGTTGCCGAAATCGGCTGATGATGTCCTGAGGGATGAAATACTAATGGTATGCTTCTTGTGTTTTCAATTGTGATGTTTCTGTTGGTGTTTTGTCCGGATTCGTTCGAGAATCGGTATAATCTTCCATTTGGTATTTTTCTGGCCGGCTCAAATTGTTTTAGTCTATTTTCAATTTCGTCCTGATAATGCGAAGCGGTCCTTATTGCTTTGGTTACTTCCATTCGAGGGAGAGATTGATTTACCGGTTTTACATCTGGGTAGTACTTCGTATGCCGGTCAATCATATCTTTTAGCAATTTTGCCTCACCTTTCAATGTCATCAGTTGTTTTTCGGTAGTTTGAGTTGAGAATTCTAGAATTTTATTATCTAGCATGCGCTGGATCAGTTTTAACTCGTCTTTTATGTCCCGAGTTTGTTGTTCTGTCAATTCTTCAAGTGGATTGTGTGCGCCCTGTGTATCTTCCATTTTGAGATTGTTGCTTGATTTGTTGTTTTGGTAAGTAACGATTCGCTGAGTAATTGAGGCTTGGTGATGAAGGTAGTCTTTGGAATGCGGTGGCTGATTATGAATGCGGAATTTGGAAAAAGAAAAATTTAATAGTAGGTTGAGTAGAAAATGTTTGATTAAGAAGGTGATGATTGGAAAAAGCAACTGGTACATGATAAAGTGGTCATTCTTGACGATATAATAGTTGGTTGTGATTGTGGTGTTTTCTATTGCAAATAGAAAATTTTTAATTATTCAAAAAAAAATTTCCTACCAAGTGTAGCACATACTTACAATTTATCAATCTCAGCATGGGAATTCTGAAAATCTAGAAACATTTTTTGATATCTATTTCCCAGATTTTCAATTTCCTTATTCAATTGTTGCAGATTTGAATTTGGATCTTTGGTTTTGTTTTAATATGGATATATGTTCTTCAAGTTTTTCATTTTCATTTTTTGCTATTGCAAAGAGAAAATTTCAATTATTCAAAAGAATTTCTTACCAAGAAACACAAACTTACATATTTTCCATCTCAGCATGGGATTCATGATATTTATGTTATGTATAGCTTTCTTCGGCTACGGAAACGGATCCGTACTTTGTACTAGTGTGCAGTTATTCCAAGTTGATTTTCTTTGCAATAATCACACCGGTTTCTTGGTGGTCGATATGAAACACTCTCACATAAACACAAGACACAAATCTTAAAATATAAGAAATTTATTAGCAAAATGAGAAAATAAACGTTGGAAATAAATGTGTGAGATGATGAATTATAAAGACCAGCCAGCAAAAAAAATGATCAGCTTGATCAATATATGGTGATATATGATGATGATTGTGTATGCGTTCGGAATTTTTATGTGATTTCTTGGACAGTCCAATTGCCAATCGGTTGAGACCACGCCTCACGTTGGTATCCAGTTCATCTTCCTTCCACTTATCACGTAGACCATGAGTTTAGGTGTTTGTTTTGCCACTCACTCATGTATCAGTCCCAGCGGGTGCATGGTAGTAATATCACCTTATCATTGTTCTTGGTTGAACGAGGTGGAAAGATTTTCCCGGGCCCAGAAAATAAGTCCCTGACTTATGGCCACATTTTTTCTACGCTGGATTTTCGCCTAGTTGATTTAACCCGATTTTGTCTTTCTAGGACATCACATTTATTTTTCCAATACATTTTTTCGGTTTCTATTTGCCGTAGATTAGATTGACATTCATCCAACTGTTCTTGAATTCTTTTCGTTTGTTCGGATTCAAATTTTTTTGACATGTTTATGTCTTGGTCAATATTCAATGTCGAAACTTACAGAAAAGAGCAATTTTATTAGAATCGGTCAATGTTGCATGATCTTGTTCTTGAATCAATATGATAAAATCATCGTGTCGAATGCCAATTTCCCAATCGTTTTTGTATTATTTGCAGCTCTTTTGAATGTCTTTTCTTTGGCCAGGAGGGAATACATTCTCGAGTTGGTTCCACGTTTATTGTCCACGTGCTGCAGAATTTATCAATACTGAATCGATGGCCACAAAAATAGTTGTCTAGAGCACATTTTAATCTCTTTATTTTCAACATTTTTCAAAGCTCTTACTTTTTGAACAAAAGCATTTCTTTTCAATTTTATTAATTAAACACAAACATAAGGAATCGAATTTCAAAAAAGCATTTCTTTTGCAAATTTTTAGTTAAACAAAAACATTAGGAATCGAATTGTAAAAAGCATATTTTTCCAATTTTTATTCAAACAAAAAAAGGTTTGTAAAAAGCGTTTCTTTTCAATTTTTATTTGTTTTGTTTGATTTATGTTTGACCATGTGCGGTGTTTTTTTTTATATTATTGGGAGTTTGACATACCACTTTAGAAATTTTTTTGCACATGTCAAAGCGCTATCAAGAAGTTTATGGCCGTTTCAAATTTACACCGATTAACCAATTATTTCGAACCACCTGTTGATCATTACTTTCCATATTAATATCTATTTGAATGTCATTGTTTTCCGAAATTCTCGACAAATTTGAAAATTTACGACCACGTTACTGGTCCCAATCAAACCACATGGTCACCAAATATCGTTCTATACTACTTATGATTTAAAATTAAAGTAAAAGTAAAAAATTATTAGAGTAATCCCTTATACCTTTTCAACAATAGATGCAAAATAATTATAAAATAAGAAAAAATAAAATATGTGTAAACAGTGAATACGCATGTGCTTGGCGGTACACAGAGGACGTGATGAAAAAGGAGATATAAGGACAGCGCTTACCCCGTTTGGGGGACAGTTCATTTATTAATTGTAGTTTGGTTGCACATGTTAATTACTGTATAAGAAATAAAGTGGTGATCTACAACGTTGAAGTGTTCCCTTTGTTTTTACATATGTACAAAATTTAAGCCGAAATATAAGCCGATCGTAAATGGACGGTAAAGAAGCAACTAGTAGTTTTCCCATCTGTACTAGACTAGATCTCCAACGATAGTTTCAATCGTAAAACATGATTTTTTTAAAAAGATATTTGACAAGAGAAACCGGTCAAAGATCATAATCAGAAACATTATCCGAAATAAAATAAGATAAAATAAGAAAATCATGATCATAATCACAAACATTATCTGAAAAATTGAATGAGACTGACGGATGATGAAATTGACTGACAGGTTTAATAACTTAAAATTAAACTTTGGAACTTTAAATCAGATAGGTGATCGACAGGTAAACGATGTTGGATACGATACATATTTGCAAGATAGGAGAAATTCGTAAATCAGTTGATACGAGATTTACCACTAGATTTTGACAAAGCACCAAACCCAACAGGACACGCGTAGGAAATCATTGGTTCAATAGCATGTAAATAAATTAAACGTAAAACTTGAAAACTTGAGCCCCAAGAAGAAGCAAATTTCCTCCTTAGAATATTATAGATCAAAGGTGGAATTGGTTATTGATTTCTCTGACACATCCATAGCCAAATATTAAGAATCAAGTTAAAGAAATAAACACGAATAAACAAAATAAATAATATAATTGAAACAAGAAATATGATAAATAAGATAAATGATATAATTATTTATTTTCATATGATATTGACACCGTTTGGTCTAAGATATCCGGTGTATTTATCTCATGCTCGAATTCTAGCTCAACGTTCGTTTGTGAATTCTGTAACGAAACTGTTGAAATAGTATTGTTTGTCAAAATAGTAATTGGTTGATGTATAAATATGATGAGCTGAGTGTGAAACGATGATCATTAAAATAAGAAACTACAAAAATCATTCAAAATACCAGTTTCAAAGCATGAATCAAAATATGCTTACCATATTTCTTATATGCCAAATGAATATGAATACAGAAATTGTTTCTGATTACAAAATCATGGCAATTGCATGATACTTGGCAAAGGCACAAATTACATACATTCGTTACACTTTATTTCGCAATCTGGTTGTTGGTTGGAATTGGTAGATTGACCTTTTATGCTGGAATCATGTGTCGAATCTATTGATATGATTTCCGAATTTTCATTCATCATGTTTTTTTGGCTGTCAGCCTGAGGCCAAAAAATTGTTGATAAATAATCAAAAAGCACAATTAATCACACGAAAACGAAAACGAACACACGTGCTGAAGCAAATCGAACATACAATTTTCTCATGTTTTATCGTTCATATATGACGTAGAGTTACAGATTCGTTTTTCTCCTTTTGGATAAACATAAGCTTCCTAATATTTGCCACCATATATTGTGTTTAAACTTTTCTTCGAAAGCACGTTGGATTGTTGAAAAGGATTTTTGTTCTGATTCAGTCAGATTTTCGAACAACTGTAGTGCTTAAGAATGGACACGAAGCATTGGCTGAAAGATATCTGCACTTTGTCCAGTTATTGGCTTTAACAATTTGACCAAATTCATTCAAGTAGCTCTCTTGATTTTATCGTCTTTTTACATTCGATTAGGGCCAAAAACGAAAAATGTGATCGAAACTCGTGACATTGTGTTTAATGAATGGGCTATCCGGCGAATATGTTGAAAGCCGTAGATTAAAAGTCATATTGATAATGGTCAACAGAAAAACAACAACGTAGCCTGTGGCACACATCCAATTCCATCCAAGAAGTCTGTTGTGAAATTAATCAAGAAAAATTCATCAGATGAAACTTATAAAGCTTATCGTCCCATATCTTTATTATCGGTGCCTGGAAAAATTTTTGAATCAATTATCACAAAACGGTTGTCACATTTTGTCCTTTCTCGTAATTTGTTATCAGCTAATCAATTTGGGTTTATTCCACAAAGATCGTCTATTGATGCGATTTCTGTTATTGTCAACAAGATGCAAAAAACTTTTGATGACAAAAAATTTGGTATTCTAATTTCTTTGGATATTAGTAAAGCATTTGATTCGGCATGTTTTGATATTATTTTGTCTAAATTGAGGGGTTTAAACATACCACCCAATCTTTATCGTATGTTTGTCAGCTTTCTTGATAATCGTCATGTTATCTTGCCCATTCAAGATTTTGTGGTATCGAAACCATTTCGTCGTGGCTGTCCTCAGGGAGGTAAATCTTCACCTCTTCTTTGGAATATTTTGATTAATGATGTGTTCGATTTATCTCTTCCTCCTAATTGTCATTTACAAGCGTATGCAGACGATTTCGTTTTGTATTGTGATCATGAAGACTTAAATACATGTGTACAAAATACATCTTTTGTTAAAGGCATAGGGGTCAATAAAGTTTATTAAAAAAAAAAAAAAAAAAAGAGGCAACTTGCGGATGTCATCCAGACTCACAAAAATTGAATCGTGTGATGATTCAATTCGCCAAATCTATGTTCCTTCAACGAAAATATGTCCGACGAGACCCAAGATTCATCAAGCCAAGAGAAATATCACTCTTATCGAAATGTAAATACAATCTCATGCCTTGTTTCACATATTTGATTTTTAATTTTGTTTTTCATTTGACAGCTGGTAAAACTCATAAATATTACTACATTCCGGTGGAGAAAGTTCTGGTCAATTTTGTCGTGAATGACGAAATCATCAATAACATTCAAAACGAACAGGATGACATGGTTTCTCAATATGTTCGAACAAATCGAATGGTCAATTGTTTAAGATTGACAACTTATGGTGATGATTTATGGTGATGAATCAAAAATTGTTTGGCATGTATTTTGATGTCGATAACTCAACACATTATCGTACCAAATCACATGAGTTACCGCTTTTGATGATTGCTAACCGCAAAGCAATCAAAGAAACTTCCATGTATGAATTGCTTATGCCGTTGATTGAAGATTTGAAAAAACTAGAAGTATGTTTTACCCCCTTCATATATGAATCAAATTTTCAGAAACACGGCTTAAGAATTCCAAGCCGAGACATCATCTTAAAAGTCCGCTTAGCTTTCGTGGTTGGCGACAATTTGGGCGTTGCTGAGCTTTTAGGATTCAAACAATGTTTCAATCAGTATTTTATTTGCAGGTAAGTATAATATTTTGAAAATGATTCTCCTCATGATTATTTTTTTCATATAGATTTTGTGGTGCTACTGATAACGAGATCAAAAAAGAGTCTCTTATTTCCGAAAAGGAATTGAATATCAAAAAATCAATGTGAGTATATGAACATTTGGTTATAGATTTCTTTGTTATAGATTTTTCTGTTTTTTAGTTCATTATCGGAAGCATTGGCGAGACGCGATTTTGGACTTTCAAGAATAAGCAAGTTTTCAGAACTTGATATCAACATTTTCGCTTTGGCACCACCGGACTTTTTCCACGATCTTATTGAAGGAATTCTTGGAACAATCACCAGCCCGGACACTACCGTCTTGTTACTTTATAAGAGTAGCATTATTCAGCTACGATTAACATTATTTTATTATTAAATATTGTTCAATATTTATTCGATTGATTCTCACTACAACACGAATAAATTGCTTCAAATAGTGATGGCCAAAATAACAAACCATTTGTTCATCTATAGCTAAAAATTTGGAAAAAACACCAAATTTTTGAAATTTTGATCAAGTTTTTCGAGCAACGGCCTTATCTTGAATAGCTTATCGCGTTCTCCGGACGGAATCGATAATAATTCAGAATTATCCGAGAAATGAATATAAATTTTTTAATTTCCATATATCGATTTTTGGTCATGCATTTTCTGATAAAATTAATATCTAAATCTTCCTCTTCTGACCAATACAATCGAACTGAATGATATCCACTGAATAGTAAAATTCCAATAAATTTTTTTTATACATTCATTAGACACATGAACCAAGACATTTGAGCCTCGGTGATGAATTATTGAATACAAGGAATCATTTCATCATCAAGATACAAGATCACAAACAATGGACATGCCATGTTTGTAAAGAAAAAAATCACCGTATCAATGGATCTTGTACAACAAAAGTTTCTGCTTAAATAATTTTAAATAATATCATAGTAAATTATAAAATAAAGACACTACAAATTGATGTATTTTTAATTTTTAAAATGATTTCCATGAGAAAAACCGAATATATCAATTATATTTGATGAAATAACAATAATATCCAATATATGCAATTTTTGTTGTCTGTGTGCCCATGACCCTATATATAGGATGAAAGTTCAAAGTTCAATTTCTCGAAATTTATAATTGATAACTTTTTTTCTAAAAAAAAATTTGCACAGATTTCTCATTCAAGATTCGAAAAAAGGATTGTAAACCAAATGACAGTTTTGATTGGATCCATTTGAAAATAACTGTGTTAACAATCTAAACCAAGCACTCCCTATTACACAAAGTCACTGCCCGAGCGCGGTCGGAATTTTCGGATTCTGGTCGTTGCGAGGGCGGTTTACGGGCCAGTTGTCTAATTGGGATATGACGTCTGACTACGAATTAAAATATGTTAAATATTTTGTTATTAAAATAATGTAGGAAATCAGGAGGTTGCAGGTTCGAGTCCTGTCTGGCTCGTTTTTGGTTGATTTTTGTCGATTCTGGATTTCCTGTCTGGTTCGTGGGGATTTTTTTTCATCAATTTTTTACAAATTGATGTGCACACCATCTGGTGACCGTAAACAAAGTGTGATGTAAACAAAGAATGGAAATTTTATTCGATCAACCTTTTGGGGCAATCATTTGCGTTTTTTATTTTTTTTTTCACATTATTGCTCGATTAACTTTTTGATTTTGTTCGAATCCTGTCTGGCTCGATTCAGTCAAATATTCGAACAACTGTAGTGCTTCAGAATGGGCACGAAGCACATTGGCTGAAAGATATCTGCACTTTGTCCAGTTATTGGCTTTAGCAATTCGATCAAATTCATTCAAAAGTAGCTCTCTTGATTTTATCGTCTTTTTCCATTCGACTAGGGCCAGGTGTGTCGAATTATCTTGAATTCGACCGGACAGGAATATCTTGTGCTTGGATTCATTCGAACGTCGAGAACCATCTAGAATTTAGACTCTAATTGGATGTTCTAACCTTGGTTTTTTTCTGTTGGACTTTAGTCATCGACATGTGAATCAGTAAACTCTGACCATGACATGAATGGCACATGGTAAAGCAGATATAAAACATGTTGGTCAATTGTAATCATAATCATTTTCCTATTATTATTATTTTCATCCTCAATAAATTATGTTTATTATTATCATATCAATTGTGATTGTTTCGGATCGGTTTTTCATCAAATAAACAACATTTACATTTGTTGGAAACTTGAAAATTATTTACTAAAATTAGTCAATTCTTTTGATCAAATGAGACCAAAAGAATTTATGGAAAAAAATCGTAAATAATTTTGTAACACAATAAAAAATGACTTTGTTTTTTTTATTCATGGTCAATGACAATAAATATGGCAGCAAGTTGAATTGAATTGTTCAATCCATATTATAGCGTCGTTGTTATAGGGTCGAAATCAAAATTAACGTCAAATGCTGCAATAAACGAAAATTAATTCACGAGTTATGAACAATAATTTACAATTTTATGCATCGATCATTGTAATTTTCATTTGACTCCAGTCGCTCTGTCCAGAATATCATTTCTCCTTTGTCTGTTGGGTTGACATCGTTCGGTTATCGAGGGCAGATCGACACTCGAGGATTTGTTTTCATTTTGATTCGATAGTAATTCCGGATCCATCCATTCTATGGTTTAAGAAACTCACAAAATTGGGAAAACAATAACAGATTTGTAAAAATCGATCATCAAACCTGCTCACACGACGAATATTTGGACTAATCATAAAGAACGTTAGGTTTGATTTTTTTTTTATTATATTTTCAAGAATTAACCTCGTGATTCCGAGTTGGAAATGATTTTAAAAAAATGAATGAAGTAGATATGTTTTTTGCTTTGATACATTTGAATATTATGGTAATCATGAATCAAAAACATTGTACGAATTGTTTGTAGTGGAACCAATATCAATTCAAGTTTTTTGTAAGGTTTAAAAAACTGAGAATATTTTAATTTATTTGGAAGGTAATTCTTTAAATTCTTTGGTCAGATATTTAAATTGTTGTCAGAATTTTTTGATTTAAAAAAATTTCAGATCATTTGATTTTTCTGAAAATCAATTGAAATTGAATCAAAATTTAATTTTTAAAACAAAATTGTCATATAATTTTTTCAAGTAAAATCAAACTCCAATTGTTGAGAAAAAAAATTCTTAAAAAATGTTTACATCAACCATACATCGAACTTTGATTTTTTTCTTGTTGGACAAATCAACAATTTTCGTCAATTGAAATTGTGAATTGATTAATCGAAAAATTTGATAACTAAAAAATCCAGCTATACAGCATGATTGTTGGGATATTCAATTTATTTCAAAACTGTGGCAATTAAATTATTTCATGACTTTCGGCCCTGGCCATAAAAATCTATAATTGTTGAGAATTTAGCAAGTGGCTTGGAAGTATAAGATTCAATAGTTAGCAGTTGATGAATGTGTGTTTAATCATAATAAATAACTGGTTAACAAACTCATATATATACAATATTTACACCATTGATCGTACTAATTAAATACACTCAACAGTTACATTATACAACTAATTCAATATTTCTTTTAACAATTCCAACAATAATACAACTGGTTGAAAAAGTTTGACAATTTTGTTCATCAAAATTTGACTGAATTATTTACTAAAATTAGTCAATTCTTTTGATCAAAAATTAACGCCAAATGCTGCAATAAACGAAAATTAATTCATGAGGTGAAGCTCACTTTGAGCTAATCATATATATTTTATAATATTAATAATAATAATAATTTTATTTGAAACGAAATAAATGGCACGAAGTCCGAAGACTCTTGTACCGATGAAAAAGAAGAATATTTACAAAAAAGAAAGAATTAGTGTTGTGTCCTGTGTTTTATTCTAGTTAGTATGTGTTTACATATGTGTGTAAATGCTATGTAGTTTTGTATTGTGTCTATGTATTGGTGTGGTGTTCTTGTGGTGAAAAATTTGGAGATATTATATAATATTGAAACATGGTTTCATATTTTGATTTGTGCTCCCTTTTTTTTATTTCCGAAAAAAATTGGGCCGATCCTGGAGGTGAGTGCAATTCCAGGCCAACCCGTGGCAAAGTTTGAGCACAGCTCAGACTCTTCGCCCACCTGCAAAAATTGGTTCAATATCTTGACCATTAATAATGGTCGTATCAGATATTAAGCTGATAAGAACAGATACTACACTTTTGATCTTAGCCAAATTTTTTAGGCCGAGAAGCGATAAGGAGATAAGCAGTTTCATTTTATTTACGGAAACAAAGACTTCCGGTTCCTTACAGTTTTGTATTGGGTTTTATCTTGTTTGACAAGGATCGCACAACATTTAGTGTATAAACAACGTGTTTTTTTGACACACCTAATAAAAATGAAAATTGAATGATGATTTATTTTTCGCTAAAATCAATGGAAAAACACTCATTTTTGAAGAATTTAACGCTAGTACTCATAAACCGTTGAATCATATTATGTATAAATTATTTCAGCAGTAAAAATTTCATTTGTAAAAATTTCATTTGAAAAAACACCAAAAATCAACATAAAGATTCATTTGATCTGATAAGGGGTGTGTCAAATTTTTTACATCGCAAATAAACCGGTAGTGACATCTATACGATGATGAGGAAGTTAAACAATCACACATGAAGAAAATTTACCATGAACTTTATTGATTGAGCACGACTTTTGCACAATTGGTGATTCAGAAATATTTTGATTGAACACTATTTTTGGAATAAAACGCAAAATAAATAAATAAAAATCATTATTATTGTTATCCATAATCGAATGATTTACCTATAATTTCATTAGTTGTACTTGATGCTTGTGGGTCCAGTGAATCGAGTATTTTTAAATTATTTATACTCTTGACGCCAATTCATCTTTGAAAAATTGGGAGAAATTTCATCTTGATCAAGAAAATATGTTCCAATAATTTTACGAGTGAAAAATTTTATTAAGCATCAAAATTCATTTGTATATCTAATAAACGCAAAAAAAACACCAAAAAAAACCGAAACATTTGAAATCCAAAACATGATTGTTTTGGAATGTTAATGGTCAAAATTTGAATATTTCAAATGGAATGTTCGACTTTGATTTAATGAATGTTATATAGCCTAATTAATCATTGGTATCTAATTGATTGTAATTTTCAATAGTGTTCGATTTCCAATCATGGCTGCAAACAAATTATTATCGTTACGATTATGACGATGATGTCGAGATCATCGTAATTTATTTATTCCATATGTATAAAGTTTTAGAATTCGATTAAAAACATAAATTAAAAATTGAACAAAAAGTATTAAATTAAAATTAAAGGTAAATATTCAATGAGATGGGTGGAGAATGTTTGACACTGCTGGACGTAAGACCACTTTTTTAGCGATCAACGATATATTGGGATTTAATATGTGTTAAAGCTGAGAAAGTAACTTCACATAAACATGTGGTGTTGAATGGCAGAAGAACATTTAACGCCATATCAGCGATTGTTCTGAAATTCAGTCAAGGACAATTGAAATGAATTAGACGATTCAATCTATTGTGGAATCCTTCCACGTGGTTGGTTGTGATCGGGTCTGCAAATAATTAATCTAATTGTATCCACCACATATGTATTTGCATCGCACATTGTTGCTGTAATTTCACAGATTAATAATAGATCTTCATCCATAGTCGATGACCGACTAGTCTTCTTTTTCATTTTTTTTGATGATAATTTAAACTTTGGCAATTGAGAAAACCATGATTGATGTTGTTGTTGATTACCAGTGGTAAATGGTGTTTCGATAAATCTTTTGTTGATTATTTCATCTTTTAAAGGAACATTATTTATTAATTGTTGTTTATTTTTCCATCCAGATTCTTTGTCATCAGGTTCACTAATAATAATAATAAATGATGATATTATAGGTGTGTTACTTTTTCTTGTATTTTCGGTTGGCAGCATTGTTTTTCGTGATCACGCCCTCATTATTAGTAGAAGGGACCACAAGTCAAACCATATTGAAATATACAACAGCAAACAAAATCTTTATTTGACTCCAGTCGCTCCATCCTCTGGTCATCAGCCAATTGTTCCTATAGGAACACTATATCCACTAAATAGACATCAGTCCACGATGAATCAATTTGGTTTGAGCTAAACGTTATCTTTGGTACCGAGAAATACACTTCTAAATGATTGACAAATGAATAATTTGTAGCGTCATTCAATAATCAAATGGTTGGAATTTGTTTACCCATTCGAATTGGTGGAATTCTATAGTCAAAAAAGAAAATTTAGAATTTCATCTGAATTTTATTATTAACATCATTTTTCATACCATTCGGGCCTGCAAACAAATAATCTTTGTATCCACAATATTTGCATCGCACATTGTTGCTATAATTCCACAGATCAATAAGTTGATCACATTAGGAATGATTTTTTCATCAAGTGCTAATTTCCAATAACCGTTTGTGTACCAGTGGAAGATACAAAATTGGACAAAACTTTGCCAACCATCATAGACTTATCATCAGTCAGAATGCTTTTTCAATGAAAGAATTACAATAAATAGAGCACAAATTTACTCAATGTGAGCAGAAAATACATATATAATGATGATGATTGTTATGATTTTATTTAAGTTTAAGTTTAAGACGTTTGTGTTTCATCCATAAAGGACGTATCATGCAACACACCCTTCTGGATCAGGTCACTAAGTTCTTTATAGAGTTATATATAAAGTTATAGAGTTATATATATAGAGTTATAGAGTTCTTTATAGAGTTGTTTATTAAGTCTATTGCATAAATCCATTCATCGGTACTACATGATTTTTAGTTGGCCAACGATTTAAAAGATAATTTGCACAATTAACAGATAGGTGCCAAAATTCGTCTGGTAATTTTGCATCTTTCCATAATGTTCGAGCACATTACGCCTCTCAATCTTTCCATTTTGTTGAAACGTATACGGGACGTAGTCGTTAAGAATGAACCAGCCTTCTGCCTGTGGATTTCGCGCACCATTAGATTCAGATCAGAAAACCATTTGACTTGGCAAATCATATTCTAAGAAGGCTTCTCTCTTATATCATCTCTGATAAAGCCAAGAATCACACCAAAGTTTAATTTCGTCAAGCCAGAATTTAAAATTGGTACCATCAAATTTTTTCATGTCCAAAATGAAATGGATAAGCATTGAATAAACAGTTTTGATAAACAATTGAAGTTGTTCCATTTGCATTTTTCTGATGGTTTACAAAAATATAATAAACACAAACGCATTGAATTTTCCACCATTCTTACTATAAATTCGAATTTCTGATATTCAAAACAGAAGAGAAAATTATATTTTGTTAAAATAATTTATCTTAGAACATACTTGGGTTCCTTTTCCCTTCAATGAAAAGTCCTCTTTGACTTTGACTGGACCATTTATCCAGTTAATCTGTTTTATTTTATTTTTTATTTGTGTTCTAGACACAGATGATGATTTAAGCAATATTTGGGAAATTCTGGGCCCAAACCCTTCGACGATATCATGGAATAGATCTGGTGGTGAAATTTGAAATATGTTCACACCCAGACCATCAACGAGCAATTGAAGTTGTTCCATTTGCATTTTTCTTTGATTACGAGCTGAGCACATAAAACAGATATATGCAAAAATTTTCGTTTACAATACAATTTTGATAAACAGTTTTGATAAACACAAACGAATTGAGAGACAATCAAGGTATTTCTCACAAGTCAGATTCAAAAAACAATTTTTCAACATGTCAAGCAGGAGAGAACGTAAACAATGATTTTTCCAAATCAATCTATCTATCTACCATAGTCTATGTTGCTAAACCATAACTGAATATGCTTTTACATTCTGCAAGTGCCTTGCACTTTTTAAAATAAAATCAAAAAAATCATACGTAACGCCCTTTATGAACGGTCAATTATTGTTTTTCAATAGCAACAGTCATCGCGAATATATTTAATCAACAAAAACAAACGACAACAATAACAAATTGGGCTTGTCTTCTATCAATGATTATACTATTCTTTGTTGTTGTTGTTTGTTATTGTCGTTGGTGATATTTAACTTTTAGTGTGTGTCTTATAATATTGAAATTCGCTCAATCCCGAAAAAAAAATTTTAAACGATAAAAATGGAATGGCTATTTGGTAAACGAAAAACTCCCGAAGAAATGATGCGTCAAAATCAACGTGCCCTTAATAAAGCGATGCGTGATCTTGATCGTGAACGTGGTAAAATGGAAATGCAAGAAAAGAAATTAATTTCTGATATCAAAAAAATGGCCAAAGATAATCAAATGGATGCCGTAAAAATTATGGCCAAAGATTTGGTTCGTACTAGACGTTATGTGAAAAAATTCATTATGATGCGTGCCAATATACAGGCCGTATCATTGAAAATACAAACATTACGATCACAGAATGCAATGGCACAAGCAATGCGTGGCGTTACGAAAGCAATGCAATCAATGAATCGTCAAATGAATCTACCACAAATTCAACGTATAATGCAAGATTTTGAAAAACAATCCGATATGATGGACATGAAAGAAGAAATGATGAGCGATGTAATCGATGATGTTATCGGTGATGAAGAAGATGAAGAAGAATCCGATGCTGTTGTATCACAGATTCTAGATGAATTAGGTGTACAATTGAATCAAAAATTAAGTGATCTACCAACAGCTAATAGTACATTAAATGCAGAAAAATCCAAAGCTAAACAAGGTCCAGTACCAGCCGCTGAAGGTGCCGGTGGTGCACCATTAGATGATGCTGATGCCGATCTACAAGCACGTCTTGAAAATCTACGTCGTGGATGATGGATTCAATCCAAGAGAAAAAAAAACATTAAATTTTTCAAATTTTCACTTTAATTTCTTTCGTTGTTGTTGTCACTGTTTTTTTTTCGTCAAATCAGCTTCATAATTATAAATATACAAAATTTCAAACACACACACACACACAATTCTTCCTAACTAACAATTTGATATTGAATAAAATTTGTTTTTATTTACAATCTGATCTGCTCAGATTATTAATTATTATTACTATTAATTAATAAATCAGAAAGTGAAACAGGAATCCATAAACGATGGCCATTACTTTGAACACGATTCTGAAATATAACCTGATTATCTATATAAATAAATGATGAACCAAATTTGAATATTTGATGTCCATTTTCGAAACGATTTGCCATTGGCATAAATAATATACCATATTCAGCTGCTTTAATTTCAATCATTTGACGGAAATTTATTTTATCTTCAACAATTGATGGTGGTACAGGTGGTTGCATCATTGTTGTTGTTGTCGTTGTTGCCGGTTGCTGCTGATTAACGGTAATGCCAACATTTGGATCATAATAAGATGTGAAACTTTTTAATCCAGTTTCCAAATTAACAGCATGATCCATCATGATTAATGCTTTACGTAGAAATTCTTTCACTATTATATGATTGATCAGATCATTACCCATTAATGTTTTCCAGCCTTGATACCAGCTACTGATTTCCTGGAAATTTGCAACACCTGAATTCAACCAAACATACAAGACATTAAGCCATTTTGGAAAAAATGTATGTTCCAAAATCGATACTATTGTATTTGTCGATAATAATGATGACCATTGAATGGTCCAATTCCATTCATTCAATGATTGTTGATTAGGATTGATTTGCATCTGTTGCATTGATTGTTCTAATTTTGGTACGATATTCATCTCAAGAAATGATTGCATCGATGATTCTGTGAATACATTTTTCCATGGTTCCAATATCAATCGGGCAGAACAATCACTTGGATGCCAATTTTTCAATGCATTTGCTAATTTTGAACGTATAATTTCATATATTGGTTCGAATAGAAAATTTAGCTCATTTTCCGACGTATTGGTTGTTTTCGTTGTTGTCAACAATACAGGAAGCCATGGATGAATCCATGAATGAATCGATATCGTATCGGTCAGTGGATTCCATTCATCAACTTCGGAACGCATTTTTGGTAATAAATTATTAGCAATGAAATATTCGTATAACCATTTTGGTAATATTTTCTGCCATTTCTCTAGAAATGCAATAATTGATTCAAATTGTAATTTCAATGAAATTTGTTGTATTGCACGGCTAACAATAGGTGTCCAATGTTGCCAAAGAATTATTTCGAATGTTTTCGATTTCGACATCAATCGACGTAATCGGTCAAAATGGCCAGAATAATCAATGGCAAAATTATCGAATGGATGCCATGTACGTAATTCACGACGAATAATCGGTCCAAATATTGATCGTAAAAGTGTATCGAATTTTAATGATCGAAGTAATCGTTTTTGTTCATCAATATTCGATTCATCTTTGGCGGAAAAAGTGGTGAAAAAATTTTCAAATTTTTCTAAACCTTTTTCAAATGATAATTCATGTTTCATTTCTTCCAATGATTCAACAAATGTTTCAATCACCTGAATAGATTTCAATTGTCGTTGATAGACAATGGCTAATTGATTTAAACGATCACGTTCTTCATTCAAATTGTCCATCTGATTACTATTACGATCATATTCACGTTTTCTTTTCACTAGATTTTTCTCCGTCAACATTATTAAACGTTCGACATTGTTTCGTAATTCTGGTATATCAAATCTAGTATTGAATTTTGTAACATGATAATCATCTTTTGGTTTAGCTGGTTTCGATTGATGAAGTTTTGTCAAACCGGATAATATTTGCTGCTGTGGTCCAGTCATGTCGATAATTTTCATATTATTCAAATAATCTGCAGTCGGATTTGTCCATGATTTCGTTATACTATCACGAATAATATCATCAGTTGATTTTTCATAAACTTTTATTGTTTTGATTTTTTTTTCGTTCCATCATTACGTTTCCATTCTTTTTCATTGGTTGATAATTCTGTTTCATCTTGATCCTTTTTTTGTTTCTTATCATCATCATCATTAGCACCTTTTCGCAGTATCTTTGCTGTCGTTTCTGGCCCATAAAGACCAATCGATCCAGTACCAGGTCTTTTTTTCGCTTCAATCGGTTCGATTATACCTTGAAGATTTTTACCTAAACCTTTACCAGGTTGGTAACCCATTTTCTGCAGTAATTTACTGCCAACACCTTTGGTATACATTTCCCATTGTCCAAATTCTGCATCGGCATTATTTGATGAAGAGCCTGAAAACAAAACAAAAAAGAAAAAAACATCAAATAATGATCATCATCAAAAAACATCCACCTACCTAATCCACTGAATCTAGATGGTTTCTTTTTCGATTGTGTTTGCTTTGAAAATTCATGATTCGAAGATGATGGTTTTCGTTCTTTGAGTTCATCTTGAAGTTTTTGATCACTTTTAACAAAACTAACACCAGTTTTATTAATATCCATCATCATATTGGATTGTTTTTTCCCACGTCTATTACCATCTTCATCATCACTTTCACTTTCAGCCCATATTCCTAAAAGAGAGAGAGAGAGAGAAACGAAAGTTTCAATTTTAAAAAAATGAATTTTATTTTCACTCAAAATTCTTACCATAAATAGCCTGATTTTTACTCATTCGTTTTGGACGATGATTTCCTTGACCAAATTCAAGATCCCAATCGGATACTTCAAATTTAATGAATCCATCATCATCATTATCAACCATGATGAAATATTATGAAATAAAATTTCGTTGTTAAAATAAATTTTCAATAACCAAAACAAACAATATTATACACACACACACAAACTATTGTGTACACGTCTTTTTAGTATTTTGAAAATTTTATTCTGCGTATACACGTGAATCGTGACTCACCACAAATCGATTGTTTTTATTATCGATATATCGATAGTCGATTCAATTATTTTTTTTAAAATTAAATTTCAAAAAATTTATTATCACAATTATCAATTCATCACACACTAAGTAGCTGATTGATTCATTGATGTATCAATACGAACAATACGTATACGTGAATCACGATCAATAAAAACAACGGCACATTCATTATTATTACCACAATAATGTGAACATGAAAATATTGTTGTACAAAGTGTACCGAAATTAAATTTATAACCAGGTGCCGGTACTTCATGTGCACGAATCATATAATTAAGATTGTTTTCCTTGAAAAATGCAATAACAGCATATTCATTGAAAAAGAATGATGTACCACGTTTAATATTGGGCAGAAAAAACCCATTCATATAAGCCGGTGGTAGACCAAGTAATTCAGCTTGTTCACCAAATTTTGCAAATTCTAATGGATCACTCCATACTAATTCCCAAACAGGTATGGCTTCATTTTCTGGATCACGAATAACTTTAGGCATTTCACGATTTAAAACGGCTAAATTCTGTTCAGTATATGGTAGGCCACCATGTGCACAATAAATTGAATCATTTATAATAGCTGCAAATGGTAAACGATTAAAAACTTCATTGATTAATTCAAAAAATTGTTGTCCCATATGTTGACCATATTTTCTTAACAATTCTTTATGAAATGAATATTTCATTTGTATACATTCAATTTCATGATTACCACGAATAAGAAATATTTTCTTCGGACACAAGTATTTGGCAATCAATAAATAATAAAAACATTCAAAACCCCAACGTCCACGATCAACATAATCACCAAGAAATAGATAATTTGATGTTAATAATGGAAAACTTTTCCACAAACATTGTTCCAATGTCAACAAATCTTCAAGATTGCCATGAATATCGCCAATAACATAGCATGGATCACAAATTTTCAATACACGATCTTCACGTTCGAATATTTTGGCCACCTCTGAACAAATGATACGAAAATCATCACAAAATGTTTGTGTTTCTTTACGATTTAAATTATTGAATAAACCAATTTCACCTTTACGTAGATTATGTGGTTGATTTTTTTCCTTATTAAATTCACGTATTTTTTGCAATATAAAATACATTAATGAATTTTGATCAAATGCTTTCTCGGTGGGTGATGTTTTTTTCATTGATGTTTTTTTCGAATAATCCACTATACGATGAATGGATTTTAAATGGCCACGATAATCCAATACAATTACATCGGATGATAAATCATATTGTTTACGTTTACAATTTTCACATGGATTTTTATAACGACGATTCAAACAAATATTATAAAGATTTTTATTCGATACAGTTGTACACAATTTTCTTGTTGCCAATGATCTTGTTATCTGTCCAAATGGTGATACTGATGATCGACATAATTGATTTGTACCAAGTAATAAACATTTTTGTATTGCATGACGAAATGAATCAAAATTAATCATTTCTTCTTGATTTACAATAACGGTGCCAATTTTTTTCATCAATAAACGTATCTGTGTTTGATTCATTGATAATGATGATGATGGTGATTTAATTTCTGTTGCTGTTATCATTTCTAAATCATGTATAAGACGTTCAAATTCTTGATAATTTAGATAACGATCCTGGTTATGATCATAGAATCTGTTTTTTTGACAAAACCAAGTTGTGAAAAAAAAAAATACTTAATGTTTTAAAAGCCAGCAAAAAAACAACTTACCGAAATATAAAACGAATACGAAATTCTTCATGCGGTGAACGATGATCAATAGCTGCCAGGCCAAGTAATAATTCATGAAATTGCATATATTGTTTTTCACGAAAACGAAATGCAAGATAATATCTTGAAATGATCGATGGATTCGATTCGATTTGATGTTTTTTCATATACATATCGAATGAAAATTTTGTAAAGAAAAAACTAGGAAAACAATGTTCAATAAAATCAGCATATAAACGTTCAATATCATTGACAGTAATATTTGTCTGTCCAAGCATTTGTTCTTCCATGGTGATCGGTGATTCACGTGGTACATATTTGAATGCATCACTTAAACTATATTCGGTTGCTGTTGAATCGACAAATGGTTGATTTGAATTCAATGCTTCTATGGCAATATTTGTATAGAAACTAACTTCTGGTCCCCAGATTTTTTTTATTTTTCTTGATATTGCATCATTAATTGGATACCAACGATAATTATTACTACTAATAATTGATTGTGGCTGTGATAAACAACCACAAACAATATTTTTATTAGTTGGATCCAATTCAACCAAATAAATTAAACGTGTTATAAAATTCTGTGTATGCGGTAATTGTATACGAAATATATCCATACAAACAAAACGACGAAATGGTATATCATTGACAAATTCCATTAAACGTTCATGATCATTATAAATATTTGATGGTAATAATAAACTTAATGCCGCTTCAATGGATGATTCAGACCATGTTTTTAATGGATTCAATGGTAAACAAGGAAAAAATACATTCGTTCGACGTAACATAATATGTCCACCAATGTTACCGGCAGCGCCACCACCATGTTGTTGACAAATTATAATGAAACAATGATTATCACAAACATTATTTGTTTGTAATTTCATTAAATTTTTTATATCCATTGAAAATTTTTCATTATAATCATCAATATTTGTTGATTTTGTTGATGCTGCCGATGATGATGTTACGGCTGATGATGATGCTACGGCTGATGATGATGATGATGATGGTGTTTGTGGACGTTGTTGTTGTTGTTGTGGTTGTTGTTTACCAACAATACCCATTGCTGCTGCTACAATTCGATTTATTTGTTGTTGTTGTTTATAATTTGAAGATGTTCCTTTTACCGGTGTCAATGGTATTTTTTGGTTCCATTAAATTCTTGATTATTATTTTATCTGCTCGTATCTTAACCATCAACACGTCAATCAATCAATCAATCAGAAAAAAAAATAAAAATTTCGATTCGACTGTTTATAGAAATTCAAACAAACAAACAAACAAACAAAAAATCAAGAATTCTAGAATTCTTGACCATTAATGAATTAATTAATAATTCGTTATATTGAATTTTGTAATGTCAAACAAACAAACAAACAAACAAAAAGAAAAAAAGAATGTGAAACAATTGTGTACACGCCATGTCAATTTTTTTTTGCCATTCATTGTGTGTCGATCCGTATTATTATTGTGTTCCAATAACTTTGGAAACTTGATAGATTTTTTTTTTATTTTTCATTTTCTTCGTTCAACCAAAAAAAAGTAAGAAATTTCTATTATCTTTTTTTTTGATCATCATGTGATATCATCATAGTATCAAGTGGAAAAAAATGATGATGATGATGATGATGAAATTATAATAATCTCATCCTTTCTCTTTGTTTCCGATGAATTTAATGCATGAATAAAATGATGATGATAATTTTAATGAATTTATTTCGTGTGTGTGTGTATTTTGATTGCTGGTGGTAACATATGGATTTTTTTTTAGATTTCTTTTTTTTTGATGAGAAATTTTTTTTTATATATCAATTAGCAATAATTATTTGGACATTTTTCTATTGAATTTGTTTGCTGTTGTGTCCATTTATTATTTTCAAACACATGTATATATATATAAATAGTTCTTGTATTGTCATTATATTCATTGAATGAGAATAAGAATTATCATCGTAAATTCATTATTACGATTACGATGATGATAAAATTCATTCGGTAATTGTTTTCTTTATACACAACGAATGATGATGATGATGATGATGAGAAAATTAATTCCCAAAACATTAATCTTATTGTAAAAAAAACATGAAAACATGGATAAAATATGGCCAAAATTAACGAAAGAAAGAAAAATAAAAAATGGAAGAAGAAGAAAAATTATCAAGATTGTGAATGATACAGAAAAAAAATTGTGCGGTGTAATTTTTTTTATTATTATTATTTATTATGGACTGAATGGAATTCGATCCGGAATACCGGATTTTTTTTCTTCTGTGTTCAAATTGAAATGCCAATGACACACAAAACAACAACAACAACAACAACAACGAAAAAAAAACACGAAAATTTGATGTGTGTGTGTGTGTAAATTGAACAAGAAACTTTTTTTTATTGTTGTTGTTGTTGTTGTTGTTGTCTGGATTAATTTTAACATCCATGCAAATATAACAACAATGAAATGATAACCGACAAACAACAACAACAACAAATAAATGTAAAAAAAAATGCTGCAATCATTTATATTTATATATAGAAAATTGACAAATGACAGCTGAAATGATTATAGTTTCGGATTGAATTTCCATCATCATCATCATCATCCGTCATAATAGTTTTTTTTAACCGGAAACAATGATGATGATGATGATGATGAACTTGTTTGGAAAGCCACAAAGAATTGAACATTTTCGATCAAATGAATAATAATAAAAAAAAATTCGTACACAGAATCTGACAAACATGAATGAATGATGAATTTTTCTCTGGTGGTTGTTGTTGTTTTTGTTTTTTTTGTTTGGCACAATGGAAATCATTTCGATTTTTTTTCTCATCGTCGTCGTCGTCGTCGGACATTATTATGGCAATTCGTGGGTTTTTTTTTCTTTGAAAATATTCACACTAATTTACGCTTGAATTGATGTTGTTTTTTGCTGTTGTTGATGATGATGATGATGATGATAAAAACTTTAACTTTGACCGAAAGAAAAATGATAAAACTTTACATTTCTTGTAATGATTATGATGATGATTGAATTGCGACTGTGCAAAATGTGTGTAAAAATATCACACACACACACAGCAGCAGCATCACATCGATTAAGTATTAAATTCTAAAGAAAGAAAGAGAAAGAGAAAAACGATTTTTATTCAAACAACAAATTGTCATTCGATTCATAACCATACACACACACACACACACAGCAATCACCGATATTAGCAATCCACCTTTATGTTGTTATCATGATTCTTTTTTTTACAGTGAAATTCAAATTCCAAAAATCTCAAAATTGTTTGTTTGTTTGTTCGTATTTCAATTGTGTGTGTGTGTGTTGTTGATCGTTCAAATATATTCGTATATATTAGATGAAATGAAAATTTTGATCAGAATTCGTGAACAAACGGAAATTGATTTTATTCTAATTTTATTCTAATTTTGGTCACCAAAACTTTGAATAAAAATGTGAATCGGAAAAAAAAATTTTTCTTCTCTTTCATATCGCCAAAAATAATTGCCATTTCCGGTTTTGTTTTCAGTGAAAAGAAAACAATGACAACATCATCGCCATCGTTATCGTTTGAAATATTCATGAAAAATTCGTGATGAATAAATAATCTAAAATGGTGGTGGTGGTGATCATCATGTAAATTTATATGTAAATGTTGTGAAAAGTGTTGAATTTCTTTTTGTTTAATTTTCACAAGTGTGTGTGTGTGTGTTTGTATAATTTGCATTACAAATCATCACCATCATCATTAGAAATTCATTGAAAAATATTCAGAATATTCATGTTTCTATATTGAATCGATGAATAATGATATCGTATAATGGAAATAATCAAAACATATTAAAATCATCACCAGCATTAGATTCATGTAAAGAATTTATTTGCCACAATTCTTGTATTAAATCAATGAGTACAAAAATCATTCTCATATGGATAATTATCGGTATGTGATGTGTTTTGTTTTTTATTACAATTTTTGTTTGTTTCATCATGGTAATAATACACGATCCCATTGATGAAATTGATAGAAACGTCGACCAAATATAAAAAACATTATCATTGCATCTGTAAAATAGATATATTCACTAACAGTGCTGGTGATATGCCACCAATAACCATTTGTATTTGGTGGCCAATGAAAACGGCTTTCATTATCCATTATAAATGGTCGATTTTGTTTCCATGACATAATCGATGAAATTGCCAACATTATTGCCGCTAAATGGGCAATATTCATCAATATTATCAATGATGTTGGTCGATTTTCAATTTTATATAGTCTATTCAGATGATATGAAATGATTATCTGGAAAATTTTTTTTGAACAAAAAAAAATTCAATTTTGAATTCAATTCACATTTGCATTTGTATAATACATACATTTTCGATAACCAAAATACTGTGTGCGATGACCATTACTAAAACCGATATACAGTGTAATGTTAGATATTCACTAGCACGAAAATTACCGATGGAAATTACACAAAAACCAGCAACAATACTGGCAATCAATGCTATTATATTGCGTAAATGTAATCGTTGTAATAATTTTTTATCAATCATTTTTCCATCTGTCATTTGTTTTTCCATATTATTATCATCATTATTTGTTTGTTCAACATTTGAAATGGTGACCGTAATAAGATAATAATCAATTTGTCGATAACGTATATAGAATATGACCATTATAATCACACCAATTGTATCAAGAATCTGGGAAAAATAACCGGCCGCTGGTAATTGTGTACCGGCATCACTAATATATGGTAGAAATGGATTCACCTGGCCATGATAAACACATATAATGTAACTGTTTTGTTTGAAAATTTGTCAAAATGTCAAAATTTTGTAAACGAAAATCATTGAAATTCATTTCATTTTGTTTTTCATATTCACTTACGGAACTAAACATGCAGCGGCGATTAATATGCCGGCCAATATTGGTAATAGCCATACATATTTGACTAGAATCAATAATAATTTCCGATCAATACGTTGTTGATTCATATTTCAATTTTATTTGATGACAAGTGAGCAAAACATTGATGATTTTTATATTTAAAACACAAGAGAAACAAACAAACAAAAAAACAGATATTTATTCGAAGGTTGTATGGTTGATTAGATTAGATTAGTGATGGTTTTAGATTTCAATCGTCAATAATCAATATATTTTTTGATCAAATGGACCCATGAATGTTCAATGATCTTTGATTTTTTTTTGTTTTGTTTTGTTTATTATTATGAATCGACAAATGAACTGTGGAACAAATTTCAATGAAATGAAATAAAAAAAAAATTCATACATGAATGAATCATGTGAATAGTTTTTTTCCAATTTATATCTATTTATTATTATTCATATAAATATTTTAATCAGTCAGTCAATCAATCAATTGATTGATTTATTGATTAATAATAATGAAAGAAAATGCTTATTACGATGAACTTGATGATGGAATAGAAATAACTAACTGAATGTTTTAGCAGCAGGCAATCAAAAGAAAAAAAAGGCTACAGAGGAAAAATTGATAAATGAGTGAAAACTTTTTTTTTTTCTTTCATAGATTTTTGAGACAGATTTGTTGAAATTTGTGCAATGAATTCAACTGTAAAGATACTTGTGTGTTTGTGTGTGAACGATAATGTCGAGATCAGAGAGAATTTTTTTTTTTGTTGCAGAAGAAAGAAATCAAACAAAAAAAAAAGGAAAATTCCATTAAATTCAAATGAAATTTTGAATGAAGAAAAAAAAACCCGACACAATTCAACGATCCACAATAATAAAAAAAAATTATTATTATCATCATTTGATTGTGAAATCATGGCCATATTTTTCATTTTGTAATCAAGTATCATTTTTCATCATCTTTTTTTTCATTATTTGAAAATGAAATAAGATTCTCGTTTTTTTTTTTTTTGTTTCCATTCTTTTTTTTATTCATTGCTTCAAATTATCCAAAATTCATGTCATTTTTCATCCCATATTCACTATTTTCAATGAATGAATTTGCCAATAAATACAAAAAAAAAAAAAAAAATTTGAAATTTAAAGTGAAACTCAAATAATCCCTGTGTATAATGTGTTTGCAGGAATTATTTTTTTTTTCTCATTCCAAATTGTTTATTACAATGTAACCAAAAATTTCAATCAAACAAATGTGAAATGAAATGATGATGATAATGAATGAAAAACTAACGAAAAACAAAAAAAGAAAAGAAAAAAAACAACAACAACAACAGAAGAAATCATTAATTGAATATATATATCGTGAGATGGGAAAAAAAGTTTTTTTTTTTTTTTCATTTTCAATTTGATTTTGTTTACGAAAACATTTCTTTGTTGTTCATTCATTTATTCATTCATCATTCATTTGAGTATACCGATACACCAATGTTGACAATAACAAACATGCCTATGGGCGATATATATTTATTCCGAATGGCTTATTTTTTCTCCTGATTATCAACCAAATCGATAATGATGCTGATGAAATGGCAAAAAAAAACAAACAGAAGTATAATCATCGATCGTAAATCGTTATTTATGGCCAAAAAAAAGAGACCATCATCATTTAATTGAATTTTTTTTCCTTTTTTTGTTACAATTTTTGGTCACTAAAAATAAAACAAAACAGAGCAAAAAAAAAAAACATGAAATGTAATACTTTGCATTTGCATTTTGTGTGGAAAATTGTCAAGTTTTTCGTCATTATTACTCATCATCATCATCATCATCATCATCATCACCAATGACGTTATCGTATTCACATCATCATCATCATATGATTTATTTATGCAAAATAGAAAAAACGCTGTTTTTGTGTGTGTGTGTGTGTGTGTGTGTGTGTGTTTGTGGAACATATTAGATAACGTGAATTACAAAATGATGACTGCTTTTCTCTCTCTCTCTCGTTAAGAATATTCTTTGTGTGTGTGTGTGATTCTTTTCAACTTTAACAATTGTGAAATGAAATGAATGGCATTCAAGAGAGAGAGAGAGAAAAAAACTTTTCTATTTCTTTTTTTTTCTCTCTCTCTTGAATCAGAACAACCAAAACAGAATTTAGAACGCATTTTGTTTTTTTTTTTTTTTTTGATTCAACACATTTCCTGTTTTGATAACAGAATGATGTAATAATTTTTCAATTTTATTGATTGATTGATTAATCAATCAATCAATAATGATCATTTGCAATGAAAATACATCATGTATCGGTTAAGCAAGAAAAAAAAACATCATTTGAATATATAGAACGTGTGTGTGTGGGTGTGTGTGCGTGCAAGTATCATGGATCATTAGATCTCATTTCCGTTCGTTCGTTGGTTGGTTCGTATTCAGAATTTCCATCCGGGTATAAACCGATAAGGTTTTTTTTTTTTTTCATACCAGATTTTTCTATTATCAACAAGAAAATTTTTATACGAATGTGAATAATAATAATGATGATGATGATGAAAAAAAAACGAAATTATATTCAATCACACGATGAAAATAATGATGAACGAACTTGAATTTTGTTCATGAAACATTGCTATTAATGAATGCCAATGATTATTACATCAATCGATCGATTGAAATTTAAATTAATCAATCAAAAAATTGATGATGATCGATCATGGTGGCTGGCTGAATGGTTTTCATTCGTTTCACACGCACATAACACAAATGGATTTTTGTTAAAAAAATGGAAAAAAAACACGCTAAAAAAAGTTTTTCCACTGCCACCATCAAATTCATATATATTAATAATTGTGTCTGTGTGTGTGTGTGCTTACTCATCGATTATAAACATTGAAACAGAATTTTTGAAAAACAAAGTTCAAAAATAAATTTCCAAAGCAATTTGTTCAACGAATAATAATAATAAAATGAAAACATGGCTTGAATCTGTAAAATTGTTGTTGTAGTTTTGTTTTTCTATAGATTCAAATCACGAAAAAATTTTTTTTTTTTTTGATCATCATCATTTATTTCAAATGAAAATTGTCTGACCAAAATACATTTTTGTCTTTCTCTTTTATTATTACAATTGAAAAAAGCATCAATTTCTGAACTATGTTCATGGCTATTGATTGTACAAAAATTTCCATTACTATTCTGTACTGGAATCATAACAGCTGAAGCTGTTATTGTAAATACAAATCTACCAAGCCGTACAACCACTGGTAATAAACCATCAAAACCACCATCAACATTGGGACAATATCCACGTTTAAATAATAATCGTAATTCACATTATTATCATTCGAATCGTTTTCAAACCGATGGTCAATCATCATCATCATCGTCGTCGTCGTCGTCGTTGGATCCAGAAATCGATTATTCAAATGATCAAACCAATGATGAAAGACGTTTATTCAATTACCTAATGAGAAATTATGATAATACAATACGTCCATTGAAAAATGCATCAAAACCAATCAATATTCGTTTGGGTATAACATTGACACAAATTTTTGACCTAGTATGTTTGTTAGTTCTTTAAAAATTCTGTCATTCATTCAATTTTTTCTTTCTTTTCAATCTTTAGGATGAAAAAAATCAAGTTCTCACCACCAATGTTTGGCTTGATCAGGTATATATTGTTTCTTGAATTACAATTTTCGTTATGATTCTCTTTTGGCCATCGTTCCATTTAGGAATGGATCGATGAATTTCTACAATGGAATTCAAGTGAATTTGGTAACATAAGTAAAATACGTATCCCTTGTCAAAGTATTTGGCTACCAGATATTGTCCTGTATAATAAGTATGTGAATTTTTTTCTAGATTTTTTTTGATTGAAAAAATTCTTTTCCTTTTCAAATTCCAGTGCCGATGATTATACACGTGGCTATATGAATAGTCGTGCTATAATTGAACCAAATGGAAATGTATTCTGGCCACCACCGACAAAATTTCGTAGCACATGTCAAGTGGATGTTACATATTTTCCATTCGATGATCAAACATGTTCAATGAAATTAGGTTCATGGATTTATGATGGTCTTACGGTCAATATTGAAAATCGAACGCAGAATGTTGATCTTTCAAATTATGTATCAAATGGTGAATGGGATCTAATCAGTACTAGTCTCATCAGAAATGTTGTCTATTATCCATGTTGTTTTGAACCATTTCCTGATGTAACAATCACATTGGTTATACGTAGAAAAATTCTTTATTACATGTATAATGTCATTATACCATGTATAATGATGTCATTGTTAACGTTATTAGTATTCTGTTTGCCACCGGAATCTGGTGAAAAAATTGCCCTTGGTGTCACCGTTCTGTTGGCATTTTCAGTATTCATGTTGGCCATTTCGGAAAAATTACCTGAAACATCGGAATCGATACCATTATTGGGTGAGTTTTCATTTTTCATTTTTCATTTTTTGTATTTTGTTACACAATTTATCATTTACAGTCCACAAACTTGGCGATAAAATTAAAAAATAAATAAATAGGTTAGGTTAGGTTTAGAATTTTGCCATTTTTTTATCATCTTGACTATAAAAATTTCCGATTCTTTGATGATTTCGCCAAATGTTCCAATTGGAACGATTATGATGATGATTGTAAAAATTTTTTTCTTTCTGGAATTCTATTCTATTAATTAATTATGATTTTATTCTTTATTTATATATTTATTTATTTCTGCTGACAAAAACAACAAAATTTTTGTTTTCTTTGCATGATTTTCATTGTTTCAAATGTCATTTTTCATCAATTTGTTCATGTGTTCAGTTATAGTGTAGAATCAATTCCGTACATTCTAAAAATAAATTTATAGCTCGATCGTTTGGTTGTTTTTTTTCTCAGTGGAAATATTTTTTCAATGTTTCAGTTTCGATTCGTGTGTGTGTGTGTGTGTGATTTTATCATTATCATCATCATCAATAATTTTTGTTGGTAATTTTTTTTCTGATGTTCTGTTCTGTTTTGGACATGATTTTCCTTCTATGCGTGTGTCTGTATGTGTCTGTGTCTAAATGGTTCACATGAATCGAATTGTAATGGAAATGGTGATCATTTATATTTATCCATACCCGGAAAACCATGCAGTTATCATTGGATTCTATCAGCGTGTTTTTTTTTGCCTTAAAATCCATGTTTACCGATAAATATAGTCAAAAACAATCACTGAATCTTACTGGTTAAGAATCCGGAATTGTCAAACAACAAAAAAAAACATTGCCATTCATAAATGTTAATTTGATTCAAGATCAATATCATTTTTCCTTCGCTAGAAACCAAAACAGAGAAAAAAAAATTTATCAATCATTTTAATGGTATTTCAATGGAAATGATTTCGTTTTTTTTTCTCGATTCTCCATCTCTCTCTCTGCTCGCTCGCTCGCTGGCTGGCAATATTGATGAAACAATCAAAAATCAATCTGATTGAACAAGGTGAACACACACACACACACACGCGCACACAAAACAATAATCGATCATTGAATCGATTGATGATAAAATGATTGATTCATGTTTTGAAAACATTTTTGCTGTAACCCCAATACAAACAAATCGATTGGTTTTTTTTGTAATTTTAATTTCAAATTTTTTTTCTCATTTTTGAATAAAAAATTCACTTTTACTTTAGGCGTTTATCTAACCGTTGTGATGGGCATCGCTTCCATATCGATAGTCATGACTGTTGTTGTGCTGAATTTTCATTATTGTTCACCAATTAATAAACATGAATTACCTGCATGGATTAAATCATTGATTATAAATGATGAAAAAAATATCTACAATGATTATTATGCGGCACGTTCATCAATGTCAATGTCAATGACAACAAATTCAAATGATTTACAAAATTTTAATAACGATAACGATAAGAATGACCATAATGATGATGATGGTAATGATGATGATGATAATAATAATTATTGTCCAATGATGATGATGACGACGAAATCAACAACAATCAATGAACCAGATATTGATGATGGTCTTTTGAATCATAAAAAAAATTCATCTAAAATTTATCCAATGGATCAATCATCATCATCATTATTGTTGCAAAATAAATTACAACCGCCACATCATTATCGATATAAAAAACAACAACAATATTTGGTAAGAATATGTTTTCAACATTTCAAAACCATTTAAAGGTTGAGTGAGAAAAATAAAGGAAATTCTAAATTAGTCGAATCAAAAAGATAACGCGAGCCAAGACAGGATTCGAAGCTGCAACCATCTCCTGATTCGTAGTCAAGCGCATATCCATTTACATCACACTTTGTTTTCCGCCACCAGATGGTGTGCGCATCAAATTGTAAAAATTGATGAAAAAAAATCCCCACGAACCAGACAGGAAATCCAGAATCGACAAAAATCAACAAAAAAAAAAAACGAGCCAGACAGGACTCGAACCTGCAACCTCCTGATTTCCTACATTATTTTAATAACAAAATATTTAACATATTTTAATTCGTAGTCAGACGTCATATCCAATTAGACAACTGGCCCGTAAACCGCCCTCGCAACGATCGGAACCCGAAAATTCCGACCGCGCTCAGACAGTGACTTTGTGTAATAGGAAATGTTTGGTTTAGATTCTTAACACAGTTATTTTCAAGTGGATCCAATCAAAACTGTCATTTGGTTTCCGATATATTAATCACATTATTATTGCAATCATGAATAGCAACTACCGACCGAAATATTTTCAGTGTGTGTTTCCATATCTAGAGATAGATCAACAATATACAATATATTTCAATATTACATTAATACGTGGATGCAACTGGCCCAGTTATTTGCTCATTTCCAGAGTTTGACGCTGCCAAACCCCCGAATTTGGGCGGTACGTCACGCTGTGACACTCAAATTCAGCCGTGTCGCCTGGCGACACAGTCCAACCTCTTAATAAACTGATGATAATCGTGAATAATTTACATGAATCAATTAATATGTGTGGAATTCTTTTTTTTTTGTTTTATCTAGAATCCAAATATCAATGAAAAAATATTCTCTGCATATAATAATGAACGTTTACGAACGCCATCTTTATCTGGTGATGAATTCTATACAACAACATCAAATATTGGAAATATTAATGTTGATGATGATATGAATAATAAATCAACCGCAACATCAACAATAATGGCCAAGAATAGACAATTGCTCAATACGATTACACCGATTTTATGTGCCACAACTATTAATCGTCTTGTGAATGACCGTCAAAAGATGGCAGCAGCAGCAGCAGCCTCAAATATCAACAATTTCCACATCAATCATCATCAAGATAATAATCATTACGCGAATACATCACAACAACAACAATCGAATAATTGTCGTCATCGACGTTTAAATCATCATCATCATCATCAAAAAATTTGGATTCATCTGTTTTCGGTATGGATAAAACATCGGTATTTACAAGACAAGATTCAAATTCACGATCAAATGATGAACGAAATGTTCATGGTAATCATAGCCAGTATCAACAACAACAACAACAACAACAACAACAACAACAACCACCACCACCACCACCGCCGCCGTCTTCATCATCACAATCACATTGTTCACAACAAAATCAACAACAAATTGAACATGAAATGATACAAATGGTACGATATCTTATGTATAGACAGGAAGTGGATGATAATATTGGTCGTCGTATACATGAATGGCGTCTATTATCAATGTATATTGATAAGATATTATTCTGGATATTCACTATTACAACCGTTGTTACATCGATTATATTCTTGTTAATTATACCTGTAAAACGACGTGGTTTTTAATTTATTAATTATTAATTATTATTATATATTACTATAAATAAATAAATTGTTATATTCATTTTCATTTCATTTTATTCAATTTTTTAATAATTTGAAACAAAAACAACAACAACAAAAAAGAAACGAAAAAAACTGTTTGTTTGTTTATTCTCTTCAAATAAGACCTTGTTGTAATTCTTCAATGTTGAAAACAAAATCAGAATTATGAGATGAATTTGATGATGATGATGATGCTGCTGCTGTACCACAACGTCCACCACCAGTACCACCACTACCATTCATGAGAACACTTTTTCCAGGTAAACGTGTAATGGAAAAATTAAATACCGATGCCATTAATTTATTGCTTAAACTTGTTGTAAATATTGTTGGCTGTTGTTGTTGTTGTTGTTGATTTATGGATGTCGATGTCGATATCGATGATGATGCGGATCGTATCGGTGATGAACGACTTGTTTTATTAATGTGGCCGTTGTTCGTATTATTATTATTATTATTATTCGATGATGATGATGAAATCCAATTAGTTGGACGTGATAATAAACCGGTAATTGTCATCATATCTTGTAAACGTAAACTTTTTGTCATTGTTGTTGTTGCTGTTGTCGATAGTGATGTTGTTGTTGTTGTTGTGAATTGTAGCTGTTCCGGATATCTACCACCACCACCACCACCACTACCATATTGATTATTATTTACAAAATATTTCCCATCATCATTATTCAGTTTTTTCATTGGAAAATTTCTCGGAAATTCTTTCATTTCAATCATTGATTCTTTTTCCATTATAATTCGTACATTATCATTGCTGTTGTTTCTTTTATCATCCACTTTTACTTTCTCTTCCTCTTCATCGTCATCTTCATCTTGTTCATCATCATCATCATCGTCATCAACATCAGACCAATGATCCGAGTTCTGTTTATGTAATTCTAATGATGGTAATGTTGAAAATACTGTATCACAGATTGAACAACCAAAATGACGTCTATAAACTTGGTGTTTAGCCATTTTACGTGCCGTTTTAAATAGACGGCCACAAACATTACATGCAAAATATTCATCTTCATTTAATTCATTTTGTTCATCATCATCATCATCATCATCGTCCACTTCATCTTCGTCTTCCACATCTTCTTCTTCTTCATCTTCACCTTCTTCACCTTCTTCTTCAGCTTCATTATCATCATCATCGTCATTGATATCAATTTCATTTTCCATATCTTCTTCTTCCTCTTCGTCGTCTACGTCATCGTCATCATCATCATCGTCAATTTTTTTCGCTTCACAATGATTATCATCATCATCATCCGATGAATCGTCATCATCATCATCATCATCATCATTTTGATCATGATGATGATGATGAATTGTAATTCGTGAATTATGGCAACAAAATTTTCGATTATTATTATTAAATTGATCACAACAACAATGATGATGATGATGATGATAATGGCAATTATTTGTTGATCCATGATGATGATGATGATGAAGAATATTTTTCAACAAAACGACTATTGGCGACATCTATCGGCTGACATTTGAACGATGTATCTATATTTGAAAAAGAAAAAAAAATACGAAAAAAAAATCAGAAAAAAAGTTGATAATCAATCAAAGTGTATCAGGATTCTTTTGTTTTGTTTGTCTTTTTTTTTCTTCTTTTGTTTCTGCACACTTAATTATAAGCTCTACGGTAAACACACACACACACACACACACACACACACTCATCGAACATTTGTGTGAGAACAAAAAAACCTGTACGAAAAAGTTTTTTTTATTTGACTTTTTTTTCTATGTTCAAATAAATCAAGAATCTTGATTCTTATAAATTCCATTTGGAATCATCGACCACTGTTGTGATTGTTTGGAACATGAACAACAATGATTATCGAATTATGTTTGATTAAGAACTTTTGTGCATTGTATAAATATAATCGTAGTTCAATGAAATAAATATAACTGTTTTTTGTTCGTATAGTGTATACATCTTGTGTTCTTATTTTCATCAACTGTGTAGCAAAATATTCAACAGGTTATGGGTTCAGCTAACGCTAACGTTCGTATACCGCAGTTGGGTGAAATTCCGTTCTTTATCTGGCAAGAACGTGTTAAATGGGCACTTGGAAGCCTAGGTTTGAAGAACTACGTTGAAGATGTCACGATCTATGAACGTTCATTGAATCAGAAAAATTTGAAAGAAATAGATAAGGTCAAGTCTATCATTGGAGATGCTTTGAGTCAACAAGATTTGATGCAGATTATTCCGTGCAGCAATCCAATTGATATTATGAAAGTTCTTGAAAACAAGTATCGTGGTCCAAAGGCGAAAAATATTTTCGAACTGTTCAAGGAATTGCAAACAACGAAGTTTAACAATTCAATTACCGATCTATTTTCACAAATTCGACGTGTTTTTCTGGAGTTAAAGAACAAAAATGTGTGTTTGCCAGAAAGTCTAATGAACGCGATCATTAGTAATCTGTTGCCTAAGGAGTATGAATCAGCTCAACAAGTTCTCGCTGTATATAACACTGGAAAGGATGACAGTGATTTGATGTCCGATACCGCATTTGAGTCGCATCTGCTAGAATTGGAACGAAATCTAAAAACTGATAGTAAACTGGTTGCTGAAACAGAAAACGTTGGTTTGTCAGCATCGTCATCCAAACAAACAAAGAAACAAACGAAGAAGAAGCGTTTTGGTGGCAAATGTTATAATTGTGGTTTGATTGGACATATGTCGAAAGATTGTCGACGTCCAAAACAAAACGTTGATCCAAGTGGCGCCGCCGCTAATCCAATCACATTGGTTAATTGGACTGGAATAATGCCATCGAATAATTCAAGCTTTATAGCGATAGTGGTGCTTCTTATCATATAGTGAATGATCATAGTTTGTTGTCTGATGTACGCAAAAGTAATGTTCGTATCGATTCAATACATGGTGTTGAAGAGAATGTACAGTTTGGTACATTGTTGTGTCAGTTTTTCAATGGCACAGTTTGGCTTGATATCAAACTATTAGATGTAGCTTTTATACCAAATCAACCGTTTAATTTGATATCAACTGGCAATTTGACCAATCCGCGTATTCATTCTGGAATGAAGGTCATTGAAGAAGATGGAAAGTTGACTGTATATCGTTTTGGAAAACCGATTTTGACTGGAGAACAGACAAGTGAGATTCGTAATTTATATAAACTAAATGTTCGTCCTGTCAATAGAAATACAACCATGGCGTCTGTTTCTTCTGATGATTTTGCGATTTGGCATGAAAGATTGTGCCATTGTTCTACATCAGTGTTGGAAAGGATGGTTGCTCTCAAGACTATTATTGGTTTGCCGAAAGATATTCGTAACAATATTGCTTACTGTTCAACGTGTCATACTGGTAAAATGACGGATGTTAGTCACAAACCAGTTGCTTCTGTCAATGAAAATATTGTTTCTGGAATGAAATTGCATGTAGACATTGGTGGTTACATGAAGCCTTCTATTCATGGAAATCAATACTATTTATTAGCTGTTGATGATTCGTCATCATATTTAAAAATTGGTTTTATGAAGCAAAGAAGTGAAGTTTATGATAAATTGAAATTGTTTATCAATGAAGTCAAAATTGACACTGGTAAAGATGTACTGGTGGTTCGCTCAGACAATGGGTCAGAATTTAGATCCAAGAATGTTCAGCAATATTTTCGTGATCGTGGAATTGTACATGAATTAGGTGTGGTTGGCGTTCCACAACACAATGGAAAAGCCGAACGATTCATTCGAACAATTTCTGAACGTGCAGTGGCGATTCTCAACAATAGTGGCTTACCTCAGTATTTATGGGACGAAGCTCTAAATCATGTTGTTTATGTGGTGAATCGTACTTTAAACTCGAAGAATATTGTGCCATACGAAGAGTATTTTGGTAAATCTGTTGATGTTTCAAATCTTCGTGTGTTTGGCTCGAAAGGGGAGAGTTGGATTCCTAAACATGGTAACAAATTTTCAACGAAATCCGAATCTGTTTTTATGGTCGGTTATAATGGGTCAAATATATATCGTGTTTATTGTCCTGATCGTCGTTGTATCAAGCTATCATCATCAGTGAAATTTGATGAAACTTCAAAGTGTCGTCTTAAGTCAGTTGAGGTTGAATCAAATAGTGGCACGATTGTCAATATTGGTGAAAAATCAGATGATGATGAAAAATCGAGTCAAAATGCTGAAAATGAAGAAGATAATGATCATGAACCAGAAGCGACAACATCAACGAATCGTGGTCGTCCGATTGGATCAACAAATCGCAAATATACGGTTTGTGAAGAACGCTTGAAAACGTTGCGTTCATTTTGTTTGCTGGCTGGTGCAGAACCTTCTACATTTGAAGAAGCTGAAAAATCTCTGAAGAAAGGATAAATGGAAGAAAGCTATGAATGAAGAATATGACGCATTGATTAAACACAAAACGTGGAAGTTGGTTCCACGACCAATTGATAAAAATATTGTTTCTGTTAAGTGGATTTTTCGTATCAAAAATGATGGACGTTATAAAGCACGACTAGTAGCTCGTGGTTTTAGTCAACGTAAAATGAAGATGCACACTTAATTATAAGCTCTACGGTAAACACACACACACACACACACTCATCGAACATTTGTGTGAGAACAAAAAAACCTGTACGAAAAAGTTTTTTTTATTTGACTTTTTTTTCTATGTTCAAATAAATCAAGAATCTTGATTCTTATAAATTCCATTTGGAATCATCGACCACTTTCAAAGATCTGAATGATTTCAAAGGTCACCTTTGATTAATCAACTGCAAAAAATTCAAAAATTCACCATCATCGCCGTTTATTCATTCATTAGTACCAGAATAAAAGAAAAGAAAAGAAAAACAAACAAAACCCTGAGATAATGATAATGATGATGATGATTGAAAAAACGTGAATCAATACACCAGGAACAAAAGATGAATAAAAAAAAAAAAAGACAAAACAATTGAAAAAACAAACAGACAAACAAAAATTAATGATGGATCAATAAATAAATCATCATCATCATCATCATCATTATTAATGAACAATCCATTCATCGGACAAACAAACAATAAAAGGCGGATAAAACGAGAGATAGAAAAAAATCCATTCATAAAGAACGTTCACGCATGCGTCATATTTACTTTTGTCAAAAAAAAAAAAAAAAAATACATCAAAAAGGTCGAGAGATCAACAACAAGAAGATTTTTAAATTGAATTTTTCTTTTACACACACACACACTTGCACATTTCACAAACATTCATCACACATCACACACTAATGACCACAACACATTTTTTTAAAAAGGTTAGTAAAAAAGAAAAATCTTGTTAATTTTGTTAGAGCAACAACAACAATAACAACAACAACAATTCTGTAATTTTTCTTTGAATCAAATTTCAAATTTCAGACCTGTCACAAACTGGCCAACAACAACAACAACAACAACAACAACAATTCTGTAATTTTGTCTGAAAATGGAAAAATGAAAAAAAAATCCTGAAAAAAAAAATCATTTTGTACATGGTTTTTTGTTGTTGTTGTTGTTGTTCAATAACAATCACGAATAGAAGAAAATTTAATTTAAGAAAAAGAAAAATCTTTTTATTTGATGTAACGCGTTCATTCATTCATCCAATTTTTTTCCCACTGTAATTCCAACCAGACGAAAAAAAAATACCAAAAAAAACCAAGAAAAAATTTATTTAATTCTGATTTATGATGATCTATAGAGTGGTGGGGGAAAAAAATATATATCACAGTACATAGCATCATTTAAATGTGAAATAAAGAGAAAACTAGGAATAAATGTGACAGTGTGTGCTATTGTTTAATATTCTCTAAAGAATTTTTTTTTCTTTCTTCATTGGTTGATTCTGGTTCCAAGGCTGGAGTGAGAAAAAAAATCAATTTGTTTAATGAAAATGAATAAATCTTAATTATTGTCAAACATGAATTTTCAGCAATTTTCAACAATTTAATGCATGCATAATGTTAATGTTTTTTTTTTTTTGTTTCGTTGGTCATCATCAAAAGTCTATTTTTTTCCAATGGAATGAACCGATATTATCTGTAATTTGAAAGGAGAATTAAACGATTAATCATCATCATCATCATCATCAACATCGTCGTCGTCGGCAATATATCCCGGGTAAAATTATTTCGTGCGAAGAATTCATCAAACAAAAAAATTTCTATTCTATGCATTACTAATGAATTAAAATCCAGTATTTTTTTGTTGAAAAAATTAATTAACAAAATCATCACAAGTTAATTAG